AAAAATCATATGATCATCTCAATAGATGTTGAAAAGCATCCGACAAAATTCAACACCCTTTAATGATTAAAAAAAAACACCCCAAAAAAATCAACAAATTAGGTATTAAAGGAATGTACCTCAATACAATAAAGGCCATCTACGACGATCCCACAGCTAACGTCACACTCAATGGTGAAAGCTGAAAACATTTCTTCTAAGATCAGAAACAAGACAAAGATGTCCCCTCTCACCAACTGTATTAAATATAGCACTGGAAATCATAGCCAAAGCAATTAAGAAAAAAAAGGAGGAAAGAGCATCGAAATCAGAGAGAGAGAGGTAAAACTGTCTTTTTGTGGAGGACATTGTTATATATAGAAAATTTTAAATGACTCCACCAAAACTGATATAACTAATCAACAAATTGAGTAAAATTGCAGGATACAAAATGAACATACAAAATTAGTTGTTTTTACACACTAACAATGAACTATGTGAAAAAGAAATTAAGAAAAAAATCCCACTTACAATAGCATTAAAAGAAAAACCTTAGGAATAAATTTAACCAAAGAGGAGACAGACCTGTACACTAAAAACTATAAAACAATGATGAAAGAAAAACATCCCTTGTTCATGGATTGAAAGAATGAATATTGTTAAAATGTCCATAATCCCCAAAGCCATCTATAGCTTCATTGCAGTCCCTATAAAAATTCCAATGGTATTTTTCATAGAAATAGAAAAAAATCCTAAAATTTATATGAAACCACAAAAGAACATGAGTAGCCAAAGCAATCCTGAGCAAAAAGAACAAAGCTAGAGATAATACACTACCCAATTTCAAAATATAATACAAAGTAGTCAAAACGGCATGGTAATGGTATAAAAACAGACATATAAACTAACGGAACAGAACAGGGAGTCCAGAAATACATCCACACGTTTACGGTCAATTGCTTTTTGGTATCCACTGGAGATCCACAAGTTTCGTGTGAATTTTACATCAGCAGAAACACTGCCAGTTGGTCTAAAATAAAGTACAAAATGAAAAAGCATATTGGGCCCACAAAATGTTACCAGTACTCAGCTGCAAACACGTGCTATATTTCATGGTGGGGGGAGCTGACTCAGTGTGGAGCCATGAGCCACAGAGAATTATTCACAGAACTATTTGAAACCAAATGGAGTTTGCCCAGCTGGATGCCAGCGTTGCTTGGGATCAGTGCCTTTTTTCCTTCTCTGAACCGGGACGTCTGTAATTGTTATCATATGCCTGTCCCACTGTGTAATGTTCAGAGCAGGTAACTTGTTTCTTCAGTTTCACAGCTCCACATGTACAGAGAGGAGCTGTACCCTAGGGCAGATCATAACCCAAGCCTCGCCCATTCCTAATTTGGATGATGATATTTAGGGCATTCAAGCTGATTAGGTAAACCTGTTCTAACTTGTGGTTTTCAGCAGTTTGACCATGATGTACATAGATAGTGTTTTCTGTAATTGCCTTGTTGGGGTTCACTGAGCTTCCAAAATTGTAGGTTGCTATTTTTTAATCAAATTTGGAAGCTTTTTGGCTTCCAATATTTTATCTGACCCATGTTCTCTCCCCTAAGACTCCTTTGGTACTTAGATTGTCCCATGGGTCACTGAGACAGTTTATTTTTTAATCCCTTCCTTCCTTCCTTCCTTCTGTGTTTCAGTTTGGATGAATTCTATTGCTCTAACACAATTCTTTTGTGTTACCTTTTTTCAAATAACTAACACTCTTAAGAATTCAGATGTTTAGAGAGATGTGTCATCTCTCTGAGGTCCTCCTTTTAGGGCATTATTGCCTGCTCATGCGAACGAAAAACAAAACACCACCACAGAAAGAAAATAGTCTATACACAAAGGCGGCACCATATGCTCAAGTTTATTGTACAGTCACAAGTTACACACTGGACACTAAGGAGAACATTGTGCCAGTTTTCACAAATGCAAATCAAGTTAGCAAATGACAAATTTTAGAACACATTTTATATCTCACCCAATGTGGGTGATCACAAGAAAAGCTAAAGAAAGAAAACCTATGTTACTTAGGTAGCAAACTAATTTGATATACACAGCTTCCAAGATACTTTAAGAGATTCCAAAGTGTTTCAAAACTAGTAGGGAATAGTTCATGTCTGGCTGAAATAAAATGTAGAATGGACCTTCTATGAGTAAATAACTTCATTTGTATGTCCATAGCAGAATCACTCCTTCCTGCTAACAAAATATTAATACAGTTCCATTTAGATTAGGGTTTACTAAATTAATAATGCCTCCAAAATTATCTGGGTTTGGTTACATTGTTATATTGCACTTGAGAAGAGTGACAACAAAAATGAAAGATTCAGTACCTCTCCCAGGGAATTCATTATGTGTCAGAAATTACAATGAAACATAAGCATATATGCATGCTGCATGTCCACAGGTTCTTCATCCCAACTAGCCTCCCAACAAGTGAAAAGGAATAACTTTCCAAAACACTGAGTATTAAGTCATTTCATTTACCATTTTTGATCTTACATTCAATTTTCAAATTTTATATTTTTTTCTTATTTATCAAACTACCACACAAACAAGCTACCCAAGAGTACAAACAAGGTGACACTGAGAAAGGCAATGGTCATACCCAGGTATCCCAAGAATGACTTAGTCTTCACCATGCTTGGCACTACATTCTGCCACAGATAAACTTCTACCGATTTACAAATTCTGTTTGCCTTATAAACCCAGCTGACCTCTTATATACTATACTCTTGCCACATAAATCTCTCTCATAGGGTCATAGTTCAGTATTAAAAATCTTTCACAGCCCCTTTAAAGAAGCCAGTATAGTCTCTTCTTAACACTTAAATTTTCTCTTTATATAAATATAAGCATTAATGAGAATTTACTATGAGTAAGTAGTTTCATAACATAGATATAATTGTGGCACTAACATTTTGATTGTTTTACACTTCAGAATTAAGAACTCAATCAGAATTATACTACTAATCACAAGAGAAAGGGAAAGGGAAGAAAAATAAAGAATGTCTCTCATGCAAATATTTTCCAAAATATCAATTCTGAAATAAATTCCTATATAAGAAATCAACAATATTTCTCACCAATATCAAATGATTTAAATATTATCTACCTCATTCATGTTTTTAAACTGAATCAGATAAAAATTTTATACTCAAAATGGATTTTAACTCTCAATAAATCACATGATAGTATTTAAAATATTAGAAAATTAAAATAGTTTTCATAGGATTATTTTTTTGATACTTTAACCAAATATAGTCACATGCTACTTTAGGGTAAAGATAATCCAAATATTCTCCTCAAAGAGTAGGCTCATAAATTATTCTTTTACCATATTGTTTAGAGGTAAAAACTTTCATTTTTAAAAGAAAATACTATTGCCTACGACTACAATTCATAAAGACAATTTAAGTCATCATGTTAAATTCCAATGACAACATCCTTCAATCTCCTATACATGATTATACCTTGGAATAGAGGTATAACTTCTATCCAATATGTATTTTCAGGAAGACTTTTAGTACATGGGAAAACAGGTAAAGATGAAAGTTGTTATAGAACAATTTAGTGACTGTCTGGTGGCAGACCCTAGGATAAAAAATATTTTTTCTTTAAAAAAGTTAAATTTATTGGTAATAAAAATACTTACTGTATATGACTAAGATCTTTTAAGTTACTAATAAAATCTATATTATAAAATCTATTAATTTTGAAATTCATTCCAGCTAAATAGAGGGTCTTGTCAATGTTCTAACTTGTATAACTCATCTATATGTGCCTCTATTTTATGACTACAGCCACTTGTGTAGGGAATTATAACAAAAGACATGGCAAGATAAATTTCAATTGTTTTTCAAACAGAAAAGTATTCAATTATTTAGAGGAAACATTTATCACTGCTTAATAAAAACAGCAGTTAAAAAGCTATCAAACCCTCAATTTCTAATGCATAGCATGATGTAATTGCACAAAAATAGTTATGTCATCTCCAGGCTTTGAGGAACTGTGAATAAATCACATATTCCTCTAGAAAATTTATCATCGTACCGACATATAAAACTATTTGCAGCTTTTACAAAAAAGTCTTAGGAAAGTTTACGGTAATAAACCTCAGAAAATTTTAAAATGTTTCCAGTAACTTGAATTGCTTATAAAAGTACCTTTTAAAAGTTATTTTGAGAGCTGAGACTGGTTTTACACATTACACCCTGCTCAAAATGAGGTAATATCATGTAAGTAGCATCATGCTATTGCTAATGTAAGGATCTCAATTCCAAGCATTTCTCATGGGGTTGAGGGATTGGGTGCAGATTCCTGTAGGTTGTAAAGATTCCTCATTGATCTTGACCTGTTCTCAGTAACAGTTTTGGAAATACAAGAAAAAAATACATATATAGGAGGAAAATAAATTAATTCCGACTAAAAACTCTTGATCTAATCTAAAAACATACTATTAATAAGCAACTCTATCAAAGAACTACAAACATAGTTTTTTTAAATTAAAATGCTTATGTTTTTGTAAATGGCCAGACTAATATGATGGAATAAATGTACTTTGGAAATGATTTCCAACTCCATATGGCCTTAAGCATCATGATGTTTAGCTGAAATTAATCTATTATACAAAAGAGGCATTTTTTATTTAAGAACTAATTTTTAGTATGAGTTAAAAGATTTGAAATACAACTTAAATAATTAAAATGTAATACAATGGCCCTAGCCGGTCTGGCTCAGTGGTAAGAGCATTGGCCTGCAGACTGAAGGGTCCCAGGTTCGATTCCAGCCAAGGGTATGTACCTGGGTTGCAGACTCGATCCCCGGCCCCAGTCGGGGCGTGTGTAAGGAGGCAACCAATCAATGTGTCTCTCTCATGTCGATGCTTCTCTCTCTTTCTCTTTCCCTCTCCCTTCCACTCTCTCTGAAAAGCAATGGGAAAAATATCCTCGGGTGAAGATTAAAAAATAATAATAAAATGGGTTTTAGATTAAATATAAATAAAAATTTAATAGCATGTACCCAATTTCATATTAAAACAAAATAGTATACCTATCTATTACAGGAAAGAACTTTGATGGGGTCTTTTTTTAACTTTACCATGTAGGTAATATTAAAATCTAAGTTCATGGAGTTATAAAGTCTTTAGTAACTTGAAAACTCAACTGTAGTGTAATGTGTATTAACATTAAGTACCTGTACAAACGATGTGGATGCTAAGGTCCAGATATGAATTGCTTTAGAACAACAACAACAACAAACAACAAAATACAACATACAAACCAGAAACAGTCATTATAGAAGGTACTATTTTACATAAAGTGGTAACTCAGGCACCACCTGTCTTATGTACATTAAAGAACTATCACTTGAAATTTTATTATTTAAATACCTAAAAACACAAGTCAGTGGATTGTATTAAATGTATGTCTGAACTTTTTTATAACGAAAAGGTTGACAAGATATTGCTCTCATTCTGTGGTTAATACCAATGGGTCAGCAGGAAAGTCTTAGAATTTTAGTCCTCACGAAGGAAATTGCAATCTATAGTGACATTGGTAATTGTCATGGTCAGGATGTAGCATAACTTAAAAAAAAATCACAGTTAAGTTTCCGAGTTTCCTTCACCATTTTCATGAGGTTGAAGCTGTTCCCTTTCTTGTTCCTCTTGAGGTGGCCGAACACGTTTAAAAAAGCCCATCTGTCAGTTGAAGAAAAACTAACATTACTGCAATATCAGTGAAGAATATTAAAAGTATTCTAGGTGACTGTATCATCACCAAGAACATTTCTTCCTTCAAATAACATGCAATGCTCACCATGCAGCATCATCAAAGATCCCTTCCCCTCCCCTTCCTTCCCTTCCACCCTCCTCCTTCCTCTGCTCCCTTCCCCTTTTGTTCTGCTTCCCCCCCCCCCTTTCTCCCCAGTTCATTCCTTACCCTGTACATCACAAACACCAAAACAGCCAGTAACAACAGTCCTGCTAGAACTGCTAAAATGATCACCCACACAGGCACAGGCATGGGCGCTGGCTGAATGCCCCAGGTGACATTAGTGGTAACCTGTCAGGGGAAAAGAAGTTTTTGAGCCTTAAAAATAGTTCACTGACTTATTCGACAACTATCTGAATGCCTACTGTATTTTATTTTAATGGTATTCACATTCTTTTTCTTGTGTATGACAATTTATGATGATATATATGGTATCTACAGCAGACACATACACACATAAAACTCCCCCAAACAGGTGAACTTCTGGTCACCTCTGAAATGATTTTTAGATAATCCAATCCAGTTTATGTGTTGGTCCCATTTTTGACCCTCAAATTAAAGATCTTTATTAAAATGCCTTCACTTCTTACAGTTAATTTTCCAACTTTCTAACTTTATGGAGAAAAGTGCCAAAATTTCGCCCATGAAATTCAGTCAATACTAAAAATCTCTTACACAGGATAAGATGCTAAAGTAAAAGGTCTACCTTTAATAATTCTGGGGTGAGAGAGTAAAATAATAATATTAAATTAACTTATAATCCTATTAAATAACTCTTACTTTAAATTATCAAGATAGTTAAACTGTCATTATTTAAAATAAATTAAAATTTTAATTTAGTCCATTCCCCCAAATCAATGACTTACTAATGTGGAGTTAGAGATATCCTCAATTGGAAGGTTCTTATAAGGAAACTCGATGACATTAAATGAAGCAGATGACTTCAGAGAGTATGAATGATTCTGGTTTTCCTTCTGTATGGAAGTAACAATGAAATGATTTCCTAGGTGTCAGATTTTCCTTATGTCTTTGAAAAAATGAGTAACTTTAAAAATGCTTCATCTGTGCACTTACATTCATAAAGGTCTCAGTCCACAGGAGAGACTTTACATACAGGATTGCGCTCTTTCCTCTGTCTAGTCGTCCAACCTGGCAGACGATCTTCAAGCACTCAGCAATTCCACAACCCTGCCAAAACAAGTTATTTACTTACAAGAAAAGGTTATTCTGTCATCTCTTCAACTTTTGAAAACCAGACATTATATTCATTTCATGTGAAGGCCAAAGAGATGACACATATTCTTTTGCCTTATAGGAATAATGTTAAAAATGAACAGGCTGATATTAGTCTATGAATGCTTTTTGTTCTAAAGGAGTAGGTTTTTATGTAATTTGTTATAGAAGGATAAGATCTATAAATTTAAGATATTTATTTTTATGGCTAGGTTCTCAACATTCTGAGCAAACCCAGAGCACGATGATTTTATAAGACATGAAAATCAGACCACAATATCCGTTTAAAAAAAAAAAAGAAACTGAATCTTTAACAGTTATTCAATGTAAGAATCAAGTGCCATGCTGGTAATCTTTGCTACATTCAGTGTTTTTATCAGTAACTTAAAGGCAGGCAGCCAAAGGTAACAAATATTCACGTCATCTATCTCTGTGCTGGCTAACCTGCACTAGACACATCACACGCACACTCCTCACAACAATGCCATCTAGTAAGTGGCACCTCCAGTTGATGAACCGGAGTAGAAGCGAGCTTTCTGGACCTGATACAGGGAATCTATGAAAAGTCTACAGCTAACATTATACTTAATGGTAAGAATGGATGTTTTTCCCCTAAGATCAGGAACAAGACAAAGGTGCCCACTCACAACATTTTTATTCAACATTGTTCAGAAGGTTCCAGCCAGTGCAATTAAGAAAAATTTTTTTAAAAAGTATCCAGATTGGAAAGGAAAATGTAAAGCTATCTCTATTCATAGGTGACAGGATCTTATACATACAAAACACTAAAGAATTCACAATAAAACTATGAGAGCTAATGAGCAAGTACAGAATATAAGATTAATATACAAATGAGTTGTATTTCTATAGCACTGAAAAATCTAAAAATTAAATAACTTAAAATTAAGACTTCTATTTAAAATAGCATTAAAATTAATAAAACATGTGGAAGTACTTTAACCAAGGAAGTGCAAGACTTATACACTTAAAACGTAAAATGTTTTTGAAAGAAATTAAAGGAGACATAAACACAAAGATATCTCATGATCGAGATCTGAAAAACTTAAGATGGCAATACTCCCAAATTGATAGATCCAATAAATTCTCTACCAAAATTCTAACTACCTTTTTTTTGGTAAAAACTGACAAGGCGATTCAAAAATTCACATGGAACTTTATATGAATATAAATTTACAAGGGACTTCAAATAATCAAAGCAATCTTAAAAAAGAAAATGTTGGAGGACATACACTCCCCAATTTCAAAACCTGAGGCAGAGATACAATATTCAAACAATCTGGAACTGGCATAAGTATACATGTGTAGCTCAATGGAATAGAATTGGCAGGCCAGAAATAAACCCATACATTTATGGTCAATGCATTTTCAACAGGCTGCCAAGACCATTTAAGGGGGAGAGAGATGTAAATGTAAGAGCTAAAAGTATAAGACGTAGAAAACTTAGGTGTAAATCTTCAGAACCTTGAGTTAGACAATGGTTTCTTAAATATGACAGCAAAAGTACAAACAACAAGAGAAGAAAGAGACTTGAGAAAATAGAAATGGATACAAGCAGAAGAAAATTCCATTTATAAAGTACTGAAGGAACAGTACTGGATTTTGCTGAACGGGCCTATCCTCAAAAGAGCATTTACTGAGTTCATACACCTTCTTTCGTGTCTGGACAAATTAACAAGTACCATGAATTACCACTCACTGTTTCCATCAGAAATACAAGTCAGTCATTTTGGTGAGAGTTTAAAAAAAGAAAAGGAAAGAGAAGAAATTTGGACTTCAAACTTTTAAAAAATTGCATCAAAGGATACAAAAAATTTGCATCAAGAAACTGAAAAGACAACTTACAGAATGAGAGAAAATATGTGCAATCATAGTTCTGATAAGGGTAGTATATAGAATATATAAAGAATTATGACTCTGTTAACAATATAAGGCAAATGAAATTTAAAAATAAAAAAAGGATTTGACTAGAAATCTCTCAAAAGAAGACATACAGATGAAAAGATGCTCAGTATCATTAGTCACTAGGGAAATACAAATAAAACAAATGAGATACCACTTCACACTGACAAGGATGACGGTAAAAAAATATATATATGTTTTAAAGTCAATAGCAAGGGAAGGCAAGGATAAGGAGATGTTAGAACCCTCACACACTGCCAGCTGGGAATGTAAAATGATGCAACCACTTTGAAACCAGTTCAGCAATTCCTTAAAAGCTAAACAGAATCCCCATATGACCCAGCAACTGCACTCCTAGGTTTATCCCTAAGAGAAGTGAAAACATGTTCACACAAAGACTTATGCATGAATGTTCAAAACAGGCAAAAAATGGAAACAACTCAAATGTTCATCAACCGATGACTGGATAAACAAAATGTGACATATCCAAAGAATGGAATATTTAGCCATAAAAACAACACTGAAATACTAATACATGCTACAATATGGTGAGCCTTAAAAACACTATGCTAAATCAAAGAAGCCAAACACAAAAGACCACATGCTATTTGACTTTATTTATATGAAATGTCCAGAACAGACAAATTCTTAGACAGAAAGTAGACTAGTGGTTGCCAGGGCTGGTGGTAGGGGAAATGGGTAGCGACTGCCCAACAGGTACAGCGCTTCTTTTTGAAGTGATGAAATGTTCTGGAATGAGATAATGATGGTGGTTGCGCAATGTGAATACACTAAAAATCACTAAATCGTACACATTAAAATGGTTAAAATAGGGAATTTTATATCATGTAAGTTTTATCTCAATTTTTTTAAAGATGTAATTCAGCAGGAAGACAGACAGGATGGGGTCGAAGTGGGGCGGGTAGAGAGTAATTTCTATTCACATGCGGGGTCGGGAAGGTCCTGTGTAATCTGTCAGTTAGGACCAGAAGGAGACAGGGAAGTAAGCCACAGGGATATCTGGACAAAGAGCACTGCAGGCAGACAGGAGAGCAAGTTGCAAATCCTGGAAACATGCCTGGGGCTGTCTGTCCAGTGAAAAGCAAGACAGTCAAAAACGGGAGGAGCGGAGGAAGGAGAGGAAACACAGGCCCAAGGCCAAAGAGCCTTCATCACGTTGCACTTAAAGGCCTTTCAGGTTCCAGTTTTCTCTCTGAGTCAGATGGGAAGGCACTGGAGTGACCTGACACGACCTATGGCTTCTGCGGATCACTGTGGCTTCTGTGTGGCAAATAAACTGTAGTGGGGAAAAGGGCAGAAATATGGTCTCCAACTAGAGGCTTAGCAATAGTCCCAGGGAGAGAGGAAGGTGACCTGGGTTAGGTGTGGCAGTGGTAGAATAGGTGAAAAGGGCTAGATTCAGGTATTCTAAAAGTAGGTATTGATAGAATTTGCTGAAATATAGGATGTGAGGTTTAAAAAAAGACAGGAGTCACGCATGATGTCCAGGTTTTGGACAGAGAATGGAATTAATATTACAAAACTGTGGAACACTATAGAAAGAGCAGAGTTGGGAGAACTCAAGGGTATGTTCTTAGAAATAAGTTTAAGACTCCTAGTAAATAAATATTAAGAGGAGTTCTAGTAGGAGGCTGGAAAATGGAGTGTGGCGTTTGATGCAGAGGATCAGGTTGGAAATGTAAACCAAAGTCATCCGCACAGAGGCGGTCTTTACAGCCACAGGAGTGAATGAGACCATCCAGTGCTGCACTGCAAGGCAGAACCTTCTACAGTGATGAGACAATCAATATGGAGATATCTGTATTTGCCGAAGCAGTAGCCACTAGCCACATGTGGCTAATGAACCCCTGAAATGTGGCTGGTGTCTATAATATTGAACAGCACAGAGCTAATGAATGAATGAATGGAGGTAGTGCAAACAAGAAACCTGGGCCCTGAGCCCTGGAACACTATCTTGGTTAAAAGTCTGGAAATGGAGATTAATAAGTAGCCAGTTGTGCTAGGTGGAGCTGCAGAAGAGAGCAGTGTCCTAGAAGTGAATGAGGAGTGATTCACAGAGGAGGAAGTGATTTATTGTGCAGAAAGTCACTGAGCAGTTGAATTGCAGAGAACTAAGGACCATGGAATCTGATGATATGAAAATAGCCAGTGATCGCTAATGAACATAAACACTATTCCAGATTCTCTGCTACTTGATGGTTTTCAGAACTGTTAAATTTCAAAAACTTAACCAGTAAGCATACTTTATAACTGTCATTATATAGGCTGACTCAACAAAAGTAAATCAAAATGCTAATTATTCTTGCAATATACTTTTGTTGAGGTCTCGCAGTATTTCACCAAAGCCTCAAAGATTAGGGTGAGACCAAGAAAGAGGTCAGTTAAAGGAGTACAGTCAGAACAAAAAAGTTAGAACACAAAATATTTTTATTAGCAATCTACAGAAATAGATCGTTTAAAGGAAATCTGGCATTAATTTGACTAGGAACAAGAAAAGTAAGAGGACTGAATGGTATAAAAATATATGTAGTTCTTTCAAGCACAGCTGTTGTTATTTTTGAAAGTTCTCTGGCATCAGTTCCATAACCACACATTTTTAAATGTTTAAAGTGCTTGTTGTCGAAATGGCACTTACCAAAGTGTGAACATCTCCTTCACTCTGGGTGAGGTCTCGCTTGGTGATGAGATGGTTCCGGTCACCTTGCCCAGCAACAGTGTCATTCCTCTCGGCTATTTGTGAATTTGAGACCTAGGATTACATTAATAAACTGAGGATAAATAATAATGGAAAACATTTTACATTGACATTTTCACATAAACTGTTATATGTAATTGAAACATAGTGACTGAAAAAGTTACCTATGCCTGGCCATGATTTCTCTCCCTTTGCATAGCCAATTGGGGAAACTGAAAAAACACACTGAAAGAGCCTGAAATTTCACAGGGGGCCATAAACGTACTAGGATGGAGATGACTATATCCAAAAGTATACAGAATTCCATAAAATGGCATTTTTCTAAGTCACTAAGTCAAGAGAACCAGCAATAAAATGTAGTATCTTATCCCCAAAGACAAAAATTTCAGCAACAAAGCACCCTTGGCACAATGTCACAACGTTATATGTGGACAAATCACAATGTGATGGAACCAAAGTCAAATTAGGTCACTGAAAAATATCTCCTGAGGCTCACTGAACACCACAGGGTGTCCATATGGTTCACTAGGACTTCATAGAATGAATCCGCACTCATTATATAAATAAACAATTTAATCCCAGTGTACCGTTTGTAAACTAAAATACTTTTGCAGAATGGGTTTATGGATTAAAATGGTTGTTTTATTTCATGCATTTCTTTTGTTGGTTTTTTCAAAAAGCAATAAAACAGCAATATGAAGAGCTGCCATGCAGCCGGTACCTTAATTCTCAAAGGGTTGATCTCCATATCTGAAGCGCAGGTCATGGGCCCGTCAATGTCATATTGGAGGAGGTACAACAAGGTGTTGTTGTTATACTTGTAAGGCCACTGAAGGTTTAGCATTGCCTTGCTGAACGAACTGGGGCCGTTGTTTCTCAGCTAATGAGGAAGAGAAAATGTAAATGTTCTGGGCAAAAATCTATTCTAGAATCGTTTCCCTACATCAACTTTAGGAATCACTAGCAACAAGATTTGAAACAGCAGGTTTTCCACAGTTACTCTAGTATTACAACATGACTATTATTATACAAAAGAGATCAAACTCAGTATTTGCCTCAAGTGCAGGGCAGAATGTGCTAGGATAAAAATATAAACAGAAGAGGAAAATGTGAAAATGTTATTGACGAAAGATTGTAGGAAGAAAGTTTTCTTCCTACAGAAATCAGATTTTGATGATCTGCTATAGGCATTTTAAATTTTAAGTCAGAACTGCAAAGCGTCCATGTGAAAATACTCAATGGCATACTGGTTTTATTCAAGTAGAACTAATTGGTTTTAAACAACAATTTGTATAAACTGCTTTCTTTAACCACTTGAAGCTGCTTGTCTAATAAAAATGAACTTATGAATAATAGGGGAGAAAATTCAAAGAACTCTCTGGTGCATACTTAAACTACGCATAATTTACATAAAATTAAATAGACTTGTCTTTTAAAAGCAGCCTATCTGTTCCTCTCTTTGTTGGCTGTCTACCGGCTATCAGTTAAATCCAACAACTGCAAACCTCATAGATGTGCTGAATAACTGGCCCAACGTCTTCTTCGGTCTCAGGGTTCTCCTTGTGCTCCCAATTTGGAATCGGAAGAAAGATATGATCAGGACTTGAGACTCTAAACAATGACCAAAGAAAACCTACCATGAATATCAAAATGATACAGTCAGTTCATTTTCTAGAGTACCCTGTATCCAAATGAATAAAAGCAGAATTTTTAAAGAGCACTACATATTTAAAAGAAAAAAACCTATACAGGTATACACATACGCATGCGCACAAACATACACACTACCATTTATTGACTCTAACATAACAGGTGAATTGATGTCAATTTGCATAAAATAAAAGTTGAGTACACTTATTTTGTGCCTGCTGCTGCCATGTCTGGTTTATTGCCAGATGGTAACCAAATAAATATTTGGAACACACACCTAGAATCTTCTCACTACAGAAGCTCTAGCATTGGTGCACCATCACCAAACATGAAGCGCCTACTACCCAAAAGTAGCTAGGGGGCCCTGGCGTTACTTTTAAAAAGTAACTTTTTTTCTCTTTTAATATATCTTTATTGATTTCAGAGAGAGGAGAGGGAGAGAGAGAGATAGAAACACCAATGACTTGAGAGAGTCATTGATCGAGCCCACAACACAGGCATGTGCCCTGACTGGAAATCGAACCCTGATCGCCTGGATCCTAGGTCGGCGCTCAACCGCTGAGCCACGCCCAGCTGGGCAAAAGTAACTACTTTTTAAAGTAGTTTTAACCATGAGAATGAGATACTCAACTCGGTAATCATACTGACCCTCTTATCTCAACAGCAGCTAAAACAGCAAGGTCAACTCTGTAAGATACCACTGGGCTTACTCTGTCAAAAAGATTGGAGCTGAAAAAGAAAAGAATACACTTAGGACTGAATTGAACATAATCATCATCAAAATCATACAGAAGCAAAAGCAGTGACACTAAAAATGAACAAATTAAAAGCAACAAAGAAATTAAAAACATATAAATCAATTATTTTCATTAGCATTTAATCCCAAAAGGATGGTCAAGTTTTACTTAACTTTAAGTTTTGTTTTATAAACTCAAAAACTGACAAACTTATTCTTACGATATAAACAATGATTTTTAAATGGTATAATCAAGTAACAAAATTTTAGTCTATTCTATTCCATATTAAATTATATTACACAGCATATTTATAACAAATATTCCTCAATAGTTATTATAAACTGAAAAGGCTGTTTTTATACCTTTGGATTTGTAAATCAAATTTCACAGAAGTATCCATCTCTGATTGCTGGTGCACACTAAAACGGAGACCAGCTAAGAGCTGAGGGAGGAAGAAAAGATGGTAACGTCAGTTAAAGCAATATCTAACTAGTAAAATGTCAGTGTCCAATAAAAAAGTATGTCCTACAATAGGGTTTTTCTAAACTTACAATAAACTGAAAGCATTGTAACAAAGATAATTAAATCTGATCTTTCTATCAAGTCTCTTCTAAGATACCTGGGCTAATATATAATGGACTCTATTTAACAACAGTTCTTAATTATAGGTATATCTCCTTATAATAATTATCTTTACAAAAAAATGCAAAAGTAAATGTTGAATCAATGAAAGTAAGTAATTATGCACAATGATTTGGTTACAGGAAGCTAACAACTGAACCTGTGCTAATGGAGCAGGAAGGAGGAATGGATGATTTACAGGCGTAAGAGGACTTGACTAAAGAAGGCATAGGTAGGACCAGAACCAGGATTTCTCCTCACAGCTCACAACTCTATCAACACCAAGCATCCTAACTTCTGCGGGTGGAAAACTGTTATTTTAAATTGAAAACTGAGTTACAAGATAAGAGAAAACAGGCTTTTGGAATCACATATATGACACATAAAAGGCATTTCGGGGGGACTTCAAACTGCCTCCCACTTTACAAAGCCTGGAGTTGGCCATTTGAAATAACCTGGAATCGTCGATACTGAATAAGCTGTGAGTGGAAAAGCTAGAGAGAATGTGAATATGAAAAAATAAAAAGTAAGTTCAACTTGTTCATGAAACATTGTGCTAAATATATGAGAAAAAAATGCAACTCCAGGTACTCTGTTCAAGCCCTGTTACTTAAGACCTCACAGATCTATAAGTAAAGACTTTTAACGAAAACTGTGCTTAAAGAAATATGGAATATTTTTTAAACTATTTAAAATATATTTGATATATACGTTGTGTAAACTTAAGGTATAGAACATGATTTGATACATTTATGAACTGTAATAGGGTTGCTCTTACAGTGATAGTTAGCACCTCTATCATGTCACATAATTATCATTTTTTTGTGGTTGGAAAAAAGATCTAGTCTCTCAGCAAGTTTGATGATTATAATACAATATTATATCATCTACAGTATATTCTCAGTACTGTGCACTAGCTCTCCAGGAGCTAACAGTAAAAAAACTTGTGCCCTTTAACCACATCTACCAGGAGAGATGTTGTTTAAGGGAAAATATGGAATATTTACCCCCATATTATCACAGATTTTCACATTACCAATATATCTACTGTAAAAATAACACAAAATATACTGCCATTTTTCCTTGATATCAGGAATTCTACAAAGTATACAGGGTGGGGCAAAAGTAGGTTTACAGTTGTGACTATGTGAAACAGTTTACTCTTGTATTATTGTTATTATATTATTTCCCATACAAACAACTATAAACCTACCTTTGCCCCACCCTGTATTTTGCTTACTCCTTAGAGGATTTGGGAAGCAACCCACTGAGTGCATCTTCTCAAGCTCCTGCTCTGCCTCCTCCACTACCTGATGCAACCAAGGTGCTCCTTGATTCTGTCTGGGACAACCATATAGGTTTCAAGTTAATGAGAAAATCTCTCACCTAAGAATGACAGTCTTGTTATTTATTCGTCAGAGTAGCTTAGAGGATTCATTAAAGCATTAGTTTAAAATATCAAAGTTACAATTTCAGTCCTTAAACCATGTTCTCACCCATGTACCAAACTGAAGGTAGTGTAAAGGCCAGTTTATTGAATACAGCGTAACAGCACAACCCATTATTTTATTTGTTTAGTCAAAACTAAACAAAACTCTGCTAATTACTGTGCTCTAAATCAAACCCGATTTAAAGACATCATTTTGAAGCGTTTATTTTAAAAAAATTACTATAGAACAAACCCACAGAAAAATAAGTGTGCTACTTTCTTTAGAAGATAATTCCATTCAATTAAAATGTCTTACTTGAGTTCCAGCCTTCATCGGGTTTCCGAGGTCACATACCACCTGGCGGGTTTGGTTTTCTGTCTTAAATGCACAGGAAAGTCTTGCTAAGGCCTTTGACCAAAAAAAAAAAATTATAAGGAAAATAAATTAATAACCAAAATAAAAAAGCAGAAGTCATAAGACTAAAAAGTTCCTAGACAATATCATGCAGTTAGATATTTAAGTTTCTTCTTTACAAAGCAAATACACTTATTTGAGCAAATGGATAAGACAGAAACCATACTTGTATACAACTGCCACATATAAATGTAAAAATATTTCTAAAAGATCCCTTGAGGACTTAGATACATAACCACATTACCTCTGACAAATAATTTGATGGACAGGCTCAGATACTTTATCTACCTGACCTTGTTTCAGGCACTTAGTTAGCAATCTTAAAAATGTCATATCAATGCATTAGGCAAAGTATTAGGCTTGAAAGGAATTATGTAAGATAGGAACTCTACTGTCTAGCAATTTAGCCTTAAGTAGAATGGCTACACCAAATAGGGGAGTAGATCATTAATGTTAATGAGACCTATGAGTGCATATCGATCTATAAAGAGGCCGTTTGCTTACTTCACTATTGCGGACAACCCCGATGAAATCAGCCTGCGGTGGGATGGACACGATGAGTTCAGCTTCATAGGCACCTTCTCCTTGGTTCTGAGCCTTAACGATCAATGTCAGAGGGTTGTCATCTCCAATATAGATCTTCTTTTGATCTCTGCAAGTTAATACAAATCTAGACAATGAAAAAAGACTGCATGGGAATAGCATGACTGTTCAAAGAAACAAATGCACGGATAGCACTGACATGTTCAACAGCATCTCAAGATATTTTAAGACTACTACACAGCTCAATAGAAAACTGGAAATAGCACACTGGGTGCAAATCCAATGCTTTTCTAAGCAAAAAAAATGTTGATGCCACTAGTATATTACTCTCATTCGTATTTATTACTGAAGTAATTTTATATCTCTTTGTATGTACTTACTAATTCTCTGATTTTTCCCCCCAAAAACTGAATGAATCATTTGTCATGATTCTCACAAAATTCCTTATAATTTATATATTATATAATGGTAATCAGATTCCTTTAGTTAGGAGTATATCAATAACAAAATGTATCTTTAAGAAGATATGATGTTACTCTGGAACACTACTCAATGAAGAATGGGAATAGGTCTACATCAGCCTACACAACCAGTAAAAACACAGTGCGTATTTTTTTAAAGCTCAATATTGACAGTTTTACCATTACAAAAAACCACATATTATCCTCTAATATAACTGATTCTCATTCAAATATACTATTACTTTGAGTAGAAACATGGGCTCTTCTATTTAAAGTTCTTATTACACTGTTTATTATTTGGAGCAAACCTTACCTATCTACAGAAACTTCCAGTTTGGGTTTACAGACATTGTCTTCACCACAGTCGAGGAGAATATGAGCCTAGAAAAGAAAGGCAATTTATTTTTTCTACATGAAAAAGATAACAATACAGGTCACACATGCTGTGTAACAAAATATATGTGAAGCGCATGACTATACACATGCACACATGCATAGATTTAGATTTATCAGCTTATGTGCATACCTAAATGGAGAAGGAATCATGGCTACTTACTTTCAAATAGGTCAGTGAAGAGTCAAGGACAAGGAAGGGAAAGGTTCATAGGACATAATACAATTAGTCAAGCCTTTCGGCTCTATCTCAGATTAAGCTGCTATGATTCTGGAATGAAGTGTCAGGCAGGAGAAAGTAACGGTCAGGAAACGGGGGTTCAGCTGCTGCTGGCTACGCTACGTGCTCTTGGGCAAATAAACTCCCTTCTAGGGTTTCTTCTTACAGACCAGTCCTCTGGCAACACCATGGAAATAGAGCAGCAATTCAGATAAGCAAAGCAAAGGGGACAGGCACTGGGCAAGACGATGGGGGCACACGCATGGCCCCGGGGAAGGAGAGGGAGGCCAAGGTTCTGACACAGTGACGTTGGCCTCTCAGGGAGCGGGGGAGCCAGCGCCCGAACCCTCCTCTCAGTCTGGCCACGGATGTGCCCGCGGGAGCACGGAGAGCCTGAAAGAGAACCTGGGAAGGGGCCAAAGAGGCTCAGGAGGATTTGAAGGAAGGAAGAAAAAAGGAAAGAGAAAAGGAGGGCATTTTTGGTTGGTCTATTGTTAACATCCACAGGGCTTCAGTCCAAAGGCAGGCAGACAGAAAGAGAAAAAGATTTAGAGGGGAATAATAATGAAAGGCTTCCTTGGAAAAAAACTAAAAAGAGATGGCAGATTCCAAGTCATTATAGGGAATATGTAGTCACCCGGGATAAAACTGTATGACAGACATCTTAACTGTAAGATTAATTGGAGATGAGACCCAATGATACATGAAAATTAACTAAAAAACCTAAACATAAGCAGTTTCTGTTCACTTCGAAAAGGGGGGGGGGGGCAGGACCATTAGAAGAATTTTTTGGTGATTCCATAGATCATACCAAATACAATCACTGCTAAATTAGTTCAGGAATAAAGTGTGGAGTTTGCAGACAATAAATTAACTAGTGATATGGTGTGTATTAAGAACTTCAGGATGATGAGTATCTAAAGTTTAAAATGAGAAATATATATGAAATATTAATAAACAGTGGTACAGGGATATTTGGCTATCACTCTACATTGAAGAGAAAGGACTTAGCTGGCATTGGTGCAGCTAACGTATTAAAATATGCTATTAGGAAAGGTGGTTTCAGAAATGGAAAAGCAGAGAGCAATGCTCTCTACTTATAGGGAACCAATTGTCTACAGTTAAGTACTTAACATCTTGCACAAAGTAAGAACTTAATATCTATTTGAATAAATACATGATGGGCAGGAGAAAAAAGCTAATCTTACTGCAGAAAGCACTAAACTTCTAACTCCGAAAAATTAGGATGCAGAGAGGGAAACTCTAGGGCTACCCTGTCCAATACAGTAGCCACTAGTGAGCCACATGTGGCTTTTGAGCACTTGAAATGAGCCTAGTGTGACTAATAAATTTACTTATTTATTTATTTATCTATCTATCCTCACCTGGGGCTGTTTTATTGATTTTAGAGAGAGAGGAAGAAAGACAGAGCAACAACGATGTGAGAGAAACATCGACTGGTTGCCTCCCATATGCCCCCAGACCGGGAATGGAACCCACAACCTTCTGGTGTACAGACGATGCCCCAATCAACTGAGCCACCCTGCCAGAGCTTAAGAAATTTATTTTTAGATTGTATTTAATTTCAATAAATTCAAATTTAAATTTAAAAACTGATACTTAATTCTGTTAATAATAAACTCGTATGTTTAGATCAACTTAGGTATGTGCATCTACTTTTTCAACTGCAAATTATATGAATTCTAAATACAGAAAAAGTATTTGTGATGAAGCTTAAGCATTTGAATCGAGATGTGCTGTAAGTATGTAACACTCTGGACTTAAATAATGTAAAGTATTTCACTGATAGTTTTTAAATTGATTACATATTCAAATAATAATAATTCTGGATATTTTCATGTGTTCACCCAAAATTCATATGTTTAAGTCCAGAATGTGACTTGTATTTGGAGATACGGTCTTTAAAGAGGTAATTAAGTTAAAATGACATCATTAGGGTGGGCCCTAACCCAGTATGACTGATGCTTTGTAAGGAGACTGGGACACAGACACACATAGGGGGAAGACTCTGTGAAGACACAGGAAGACAGAGAAGATGGCCATCCACAAGCCAGACAGAGAGGCATGGATGAAACCACCCGTCGACACTCTGATCTTATACTTTAAGCCTCCAGAACTGTGAGAAAATAAGTTTCTATTGTTTAAGCCACCCAGTGTGTAGTACTTTGTTATGACAGTCCTAGCAAAGTAATACAAATATATTATTAAAATTAATTTTGCCTGAATTCATGGGTTTAACATAAAATTTTCTAAAAATATTATAATAGTCTTTATGAAATTTTATTGCTTTATTTGGTTTTACGTAAAGAATGTACTATCTATGTATATATGTGTGTACTTTTTCCAGTTAAAATATAAATCAAAGATAAAACAAATATAAAACTTGTTTAGCAAAATACTAAAATACTATGTAAATAAATTGGTGTTTTGTTTTCCTTGAATTATTTAACTGTTTTATGTGACCCCACCTTTCTCTCCATATCACTAAGTTCTAAGTAGCTTTAAATATCTCTAACCTGAAAGTCCACGTTCCTTCCCCTCTGGCTTCTCTGACTAAAATCCCAACATTACGAAAGCAATCCCTTGTGATATTTTAAAATATGAATTGCAGGACCATACAAAAATTCAAGTATAAAGTTAATGATAAATTGAGAAAGTACAGTACCTGTCGACTGACGTTGGCAGGAGTGAACTGGTTAAGAATGGGTTGCAAGCCTGTTGCATCAGTAGCTGTTCTATAATCCAATCGATACTCCATAAAAACAGTAATTGGAGTGAGTTTGTCTCTAAATTCAGATTCATCCTAGAAATGGAAAAGCTTTGAATTAATGATGACATCAACCTAGGACATCAAACTATCTGCAGAAATCCATAAGTGCAATATACAAAGCCTGCTGTATTATTTGTCTCTTGATCCAATTCTACCAAAACCCTCTGTAAAACTATACTTTAAAAAAAGAATAGAGTATCCAAAAAGATTATCATTATTCAATGAGAACACTTAATCAAGTTTTGTAATATTATGTAATATTGATTCACACAAAAATATATGAAGCATGTTAATAAAATGAGCACTCAAATGCACGCCCAATATTGTAACTGGAACATTACTGATACCGCTTAAGCTACCCATGGGCTCCTCTCGTTTTCATCCCTCTGCCTTCCTGCTGACGTAACCACTAACCTGAATTTTAAGTTCACCATTCCCTTGATTGCTTTCAGCAGTTTTAGCATAGTGTATATGTTTCTAAACAAAATGTGCTTGAGTTTGCCTTTCCTGTTTATTTAAAACTTAGATCATATATATTCTTTTGTGATTTTACTTAGTTCTGTTCAATACTCTTGTTAAGATTCATCCATACTGTTGCGTGTAGCTAAGGTTAAGTTTTACATTGAGTAATATTTCATCATATAAGAAATCCAATGTTTATTTGTCCATTCTCCTATCAAAGGTTACTTGGATTTTTTTTAGTGCTTTTTGTTTTTGCTATTACAAAAATAATGTTGTAATGATTCTTCTACATAGTGAGAAGTAGTTTATCAGTTGTATAATACCATATTATTTTCCAAAGTCTTCATAACAATTTACACTGCCATCAGTAACGTGTAAAAATTCTCATTAATTCACATCTTCACCAACTGACAGGTATTGGCAGGTTTTGTTTTACTGTAAGATGGTATTTCTTCATAATTATAACTGGAGGTATCTGTCCTGCTTAAATCACAAACAGTTATTAATTTAATCAAAAGCTTTTTCTACACTTAAGATGATCATGTTTTTTCTTCAGTTTACTCACATGTTAAGTTACACTTCTGTAGTTTTAATGTTAACCCACCCTAGGATAAACCCAAGTTGGTATATTTATTTTATCTTTTCAATAAACCCCTAGATTTTAATTAGCTCAGTAATTCTGCATCTATGTCTTTGTGTAAGACTGGCAGGAAATTTTGTTTCCTCTTTTATCTGTAGTTTTCAATGCCTAATTTTGTGGAGGATTTTCCCTTCCTTTTTTTAACCTTTAAGTTAAATGGCATTTAAGGTTGTGCATTTACCTTTATATTCTGCTAAACTGTGACATCCCATTTTTTTTCTTTTTGTTTTTTTCAGTATTTTTTTAATTTACTGGGGTGACATTTAATAAAATTATCTAGGTTTCAGGTCTACAATTTGGTAATACACCTGAATTCACCACCCCAAGTCAAGTCTCCATCCCATTTGTTTCCCCTTTACCTCCTTTACCTACTGCCACCGAACTTTCCCTCTGGTAATCACCATGCTGTTGTCTGTGTCTATAAATTTGCTTGTTTTTTGTTTAATCCCTTCACCTTTTTACCCAGCCCCCGGCCCCCGACAGCTGTCAGTCGGTTCTCTGTATCTATGAGTCTGTTTCTATTTTGTTTGTTTATTTTGTCCATTAGATTCCACATGTAAGTGAGGTCATATGGTCCTTGTCTTTCTCCGACTGGCTTATTTCACTTCGCATAATACTCTCCGGGTCCCTCCATGCTGTCGCAAAGGGTAAGATTTCCTTCTCTTTTATGGCTGAGTAGTAAGTATCCCATTGTGTAATGTCCCACAGCTTTTTATCCACTCATCTACCGATGGACACTTGAGCTGCTTCCAAATCTTGGCTCTACTGTAAATAACGCTGCAATGAACACAGAGGTGCATATGTTCTTTCAAATTAGTGTTTTGGTTTCTTCAGATATATTCCCAGAAGTGGAATCGCTGGGTCATAAGGCAGCTCCATGTTTAATTTTTTTTTTTTTTTTAATATATCTTTATTGATTTCAGAGAGAGGAAAGGAGAGGAAGAGAGAGAGACAGAAACATCAATGAGGAGAGAGTCATTGATCAAGCCTGCAACCGGGCATGTGCCCTGACCGGGAATCGAACCCCGATCGCCTGGATCCCAGGTTGATGCTCAACCGCTGAGCCACGCCCGGCCGGGCTCCATGTTTAATCTTTTGAGGTAACTCGGTACTGCTTTCCACAGTGGCTGCCCCAGCCTGCATCCCCACCAGCAGTGTACCAGGGCTCCCCTCTCTCCACACCCTCGCCAGCACTTGTCGTTTGTTGATCTGTTGATGGAGCCATTCTCACAGGTGTGAAGTAATACCTCATTGTGGTTTTAATTTGCATCGCTCTGAGGATTAGTGATGTCGAGCATCTTTTCATATGTCTATTGGCCATTTGGATGTCCTTTTTGGAGAAGTGTCTATTCAAGACATTTGCCATTATTTAATTGGGATTGTTTGTTTTTGTGTTGAGTTTCATAACTTCTTTATAAATTTTGGATATTACTCAGATAAATCATTGGCTAATATGTCCTCCCATTAAGTGGGTTGACTTTTCATTTTGTTGATGGTTTCCTTTGCTGAGCAAAAACTTTTTAGTTTGATGTAGTCCCATTTGTTTACTTTTTTGTCTGTTTTCCCTGCTTGAGGAGATATATGTTGCATGTGGTATAAGAAGGTGGGCCAGTTTCATTTTTTTTTTGCACATATCTGTGCCAAGTTTTATGTAGATCTGCTAAATCTTCTGAATCTTTACTAATGTTTTGGTCTTCTTTTTAAAACCTTCATCGTTCATTTTTTAAAATATTTTACACAAATTTATATTCTGTAACATAATTCCAGTATCTCAAGCCTTTGAGGTCTAATATCTGTTTGTTGTTTTTTCCTAATAGCTTGTGTTTAGTGGAATTTTTAAAATAAATTTGTGGAAATCATGGGGCTCATGCTAGATCGTTACAGAGAGGCTCTGCACTTAATTTTGCTGGAGTCAGGGTGCACCTTTGTTCTGGAAACACTTTAGCCTCATGCAAGTGTCTAGACCTCAAGCAAGAGGCTCAGACCTCTGGCTTACAGAAGGCTCCAGGCAAGTCTAATCCCTGTGCTGGTGTCTGCAATTACTGCTCACCCTCTCCCCTGGCTCCATCCCACCCCAGTCACCCTGGATCACACATTTGCTTACAACTCACAAGTCACATTTAGCCAATGGCCTTTTTAAATTGATTGCTCATTTTCAGTGAACCCTGGAAACTGCTTGTGCTATCTTGAAGGTCCAGCACTTTTTAAGAAATACATTTGTCATAATTTACTCAGTAGCATTATTGTGGGAAGACCATTTGGAATATCCAGTCTACCAGGAGTAGAAGTCCATTACTTAGCTTTGACATTTTAAAAAGCCACACTTCCTCAAGTGAATTTTTCTGTGCTTTCCTATTTCTTTTTAATATATCTTTACAGATTTCAGAGAAAGGAAGGGAGAGGGAAAGAGAGATAGAAACATCAATGATGAGTCATTGATGGGCTGCCTCCTGCACGCCCCTACCAGGGATTGAGCCTACAACCCGGGCATGTGCCCTGCCCAGGAATCAAACCTCGACCTCCTGTTCAACCACTGAACCATGCCAGCCGGGCTGTGCTTTCCTATTGATTTAATATGTGAAAATGTATAGAGTGTGAAAATATTTGGATGAGAAAAAAAAACAATAAATAAAAAGAGAAGACAATGAGCAGAGAAATCTCTCTTACCCGTAGATATGCAATCAGCTCCTCACACTGCATCTGGCCCCCTCTTGAAATGGTCATGTTCTTGGAGTGACCCGGGGACCTGTTATGGAGAAATAGTGCTCGTCGAATTGCTCCTTTTTGCTTCAGTTTATCCAAAAGAAGCTCCACCTGGAAGTCTATACAAACCAAAGGATTTATAACCAACATAATCTTTATGGACACCTATCTGTCCTAGATATCATGAGTTTTCATGTAAACAGAGATTTTTATTCCTTTAACAAGTAATGTGCTCCTAATTCATTAAGGATGTCTATACATTTTAGTGAGACCACAACATATTAATTCTGAACCAATGTTTAATAATTAATTAAATAATTAATCCAACTATCCTCAAAATAATGTCATATTAATTCAGACAACAGATAATGATGATAGTAAAACAACTATCAGATAGAGGAGAAAATTCTCTTCTATATTAAATTATTAAGCTAAGAGGAGGAAGTTCAGGGCATGAAATATATGTAAATTATATGTAAATTCACTTTCACCATTAATGCAAGTAGCAGGACTCTGGCTGATGGTGACTAAGAAATATTTACCAATATGCACCCATTCCACTATATTAAACACTACGATGAACGAACAGGTTGCATCACTCACCACTCCTACTTCCACTTAAGCTACCAGTATCAAATTGTCACATAAATATGCCCCTCACGAAACAAGTGACTCTATATAGTTATCTGGGTCAAGAATCACCTTAAAATGAACATGCAACCCAGCAGGTGTGGCTCAGCGGTTGAGCATCGACCTAGGATCCAGTAGATCAAGGGTGGATTCCCAGTCAGGGCACATGCCCGGGTTGTGAGCTCAATCCCCAGTAGGGGGCGTGCAGGAGGCAGCCCATCAATGATGTTTCATCATTGATGTTTCTCTCTCTCTCCCTCTCCCTTCCTTTCTCTGAAATCAATAAAGAAATATTAAAAAAAGAAAAAAAAGAGAATGTGCAGCTACTGGTCTGAAGCACAGTTGTTAGGATTACTGATTCTAAGATTCAGGTCTTTTAAGGAGTTTCTTCAAAGCAGGGAAGAGTGCAGATCTTTAAAACTACAAATGTTTTTCCCAGTTTCTCTAAATGCTGAACTTCATGTCAAGTTTGGGTGAAAACCCAGGGTTATTTTGCTTCCACTTCTGTTCCGTCCACCCACAAACACACTAAGCATCCTCTTGCCTCCAGCTTCTTGAAATTTCCTCTGTGCAAAATACTCCTCTGGACATCCCCAAGCTCCTCCCTTTCCTTGCTACCCTATGTGAACTTTCATGCAGAAACCCATGCCCAACATATGCAGTCCTCTTCCCCTGCTTTATTATTACTCCCTAGCACTTGTTACTAACATACTGAGAGATCTTGGCCACAATTACTTAACTCTCCCACCTTGCTCTCAGGACCACATAAACCATCTTTTGGAAATAAAGAGTCAACTCTGAGCTTGCTGTGTGGATAAAATTTAGGGGCCAAAACTTTTTCTCCTTCTATTTCTAAAGCACCTCTACTCCAGAGATTGCTGGGGGATTCTCCAAGACATAAAACATAATGTTCTCAGTAGATCATCTACTTATAAACAATGAAACTCATTTCTCCTCAAGCTCATTTATCTCACATTGGTAACCGCTTAACTTTGTGAAAATCGTATTTATCAGTCAGTGGGTTATTTTGTTCACAATGTCAAGAAATAAATGTATTATTTCAGAAATGGGTTAAGAGTTTCCAAACAAAGTAATTATGGTGCAATGTTAAAGGACTTTAAACATTCACATAAAAAATAACAATAACTGTTTGAGTAACTATTCAAATATTCCAAAACATTTTCAAGTGCTGTGAATGCAGCATCATTAAAATAATATAACTTTCCTGCAGGACACTTACTAAGTTTCTTGGGAAGTGCTCCTTTGCCATCTGCCTTTAAGCAGAACCTGACGTTAAAACTGTAGGAAAATAAAAAATACACAAATCCTTTTAATTCAGTTTAGAAATATTTTTTATCATCACTCAAATCTCACATTTCTCACATATAGTTTACACTGTGAAGCTTTATGTATTTCTCCATGTCTTAATATTATACTTAAAACATGAAACTCTAAAATAATCTAATTCATCCTTCAGTAATTTAATCACACTTCCTTTCATAGCACCTTGATGAGGAAAAAAAGAAAACAATTTCCTAACTTGCTCTCAAGTTTACAGACCCTGTTGATAAAGCTAAATGAGGGAGGCGACAGTCCAGACTTAAAATAGTGTCTCATTTAATAGAAAGCCCCACAAAAGCTTCCTTCAACTAGCAAACTCCCCTAAGATGGTGTTTTTCACAATTTATTAGCAAGTGCTGAAATCAGTATAATGGGCTGTGTCCGGCATTATTAAAATAAATTAATTAAATAAATAAAATTGACTTAAATTACACATATGTGTTTACTGGATTATGATACAAAATACATTTTGTACTATGTGCCACAATAAAAAACATATGAAAGCTACTGCTTTAGTTATTCAAAGTCTTCAAATTATTAGCATAATTATAAGCATATTATTAGGACCTACCCAGAGACGTGCAACGTGAGTGAAGGGAAGAAAGGCAGTAAAGCTTAGAGCCAAAAATCTTGAAAGCAACTTTACTACCAATCGATAAAAATGAAAACCAAACATTACATTACATTTTACTGCCATCAAATGAAAGAAATTTTTGAAAAATTATTTTAATAATAATAATAATTCAAGAACAAAATCAAGAAAAATATTTTTCATTAGCTCTTTTGAAATAAAAATTTCCCAGCTTCCAATCATTCTACCCTTCATCTCTACGTTCTCTGATTTTTGTGTGCCAGGAACTTGAACAGTATTTCCCAAAGTGGGGTACTCATAGTAATTTTAATAGCATATGGGTCAAGATATTTCATGATTAATGTTATATTTATTTTGACATGTACAAGAAAGATACTAGTTATTCCATTTTATTTTAAAATGTTTTAAAGCAAAGCATAAGTTAATTTAAGGAAAAAAAATCTTAAGAAAATTATAAATATAGGTAGAATGAAAATACAGCTAAATATGCAATATAGGAAAGAGTATCATAAAAATAATGGAGACTTGAGAAACACTGAGCGATAGAAGAATTCAGACATTAAATTTACAAAAAATAGCCCGGCTGGGCATGGCTCAGCGGTTGAGCGTTGACCTGGGATCCAGGCAATCGGGGTTCGATTCCCAGTCAGGGCACATGCCCGGGTTGTGGGCTCAATCAATGACTCTCTCATCATTGATGTTTCTATCTCTCTCTCTCCCTCTCCTTTCCTCTCTCTGAAATCAATAAAAATATATTAAAAAAAAAAAAACTTACAAAAAATATTTTTTCTTTAGAAACTAGTAAAGGAACAAGTAGAAGACTGGTATATTAGAACAAAATAATATTTTTTCATACAGCTACTCACAGATAGTAAATCTGGAAAAGATCGTATCTTTTAAAAATTATAATGTTCATGAGTCTTTTTTTAGAATTAAATATAAATGAATTCTGAGGTCTCCTTAGCTTTTCCTTCTTTTTCAATATTTTCATTCAGCATGCATCATTTTTAAAAACTTTACACTAGTTTTTAGCACACTTCTAAAGCTTTCTACAGATCTTCCTTAGAACAGTATTTCTATAACGCAATCTATGGCATGAAAACAAGAAGACCCCCATAGAAACTGCTTTAGCAATTCTTCACTCTCTACCTTCATTTTCAATTGTTTTTACAATAATTGAACCACTAATCACAGTAATATCTATCATTAAACTTATACTCTTACCAGGAAACTTTCAGATCTGTCCCAGGCAGTGGGCAGGTTTTATTGTCTTGATTTAAAATGCTAGGGTACACCTCAAGGCCAGCATTTACAGTGATAACCGGCCTGGCTCTAGGAGAAAGATAGATATAGGAAATAAGAAAAAAATTTTAAAGTTGTTTAAAATGTTAGATTGATCTAAGCCTTACGGTTGACATCCACAGTGCAGTGTTTATTGAAGCACTGTTTACAATAGCAAAACAAACAAAACAAAAACTCAGAATGACCAACTGTCCCAGTTTGCCTAGGACTGTCCTGATTTTAGCATGGAAAGTTCCATGACCTTGTAAATTCCTCAGTTCCAGGCAAAGTGGGACAACTAGCCAATCTGAACTGTCCATTAAAGTAGAATGGTCAAACAAGTCATGGGATAGGTACCTAATGCGATGCAATACAGTGGCGAAAATGATGCCATAAATCCATCTGTGCTGCTATGGATGATCTCTAAGATATATGCGAGATACAATTTTAGTATGATGCGGAAAAATCCACAAGGTACAAAGGATACATATACACACACACACACACACAATTATTTTAATGTATAGTATATTTCTGCTAGGTTACAGTAATAAACTAGTAACTAGTGTGAGATTTTTTTATTGTGTGCTCTTTTTATATTATTTGAATATTTACCATATGCATGTATTACTTCATTAACAGCCATTTAAAAACTGAAACAATATATTAGTTTTCCAAAGTTCAGAAGCATAGACTTAAACTCTATACAAAAACACAGCAGGCTCAGGACAGTGTGCCTCTCAGTCACGATAAATCCTGGAATCTGTGTGAATACACACTGCCCGAAAAGCCACAATCAAGTTGATCCATCACCAACTTGACTACACAGTTTCAATGTTAGTTTTCCTGCCATGTATAAACATGGCCCACAGAAGAGTAAACATCTTAACCTACCTGGGATGCCAGATGATAGCCTAAGGCAAGAGCAATTGATGAACTACAGAGAATAACAGCAAATATGCATAAAGCTGGGAAATACAGATATGTGGATGTACACATTGCTCTAAAAAGTAGCTATTTTGGAAGTCATTACATACTATTCGGCCTTTAGAGTCACAGAATGTTGTGGAACAAACACCAGGCTAATTCCTTGCGTCTCGGAGGAAAATAGAAACTCCTATAATTTTCGAAGAGAGATTTAAGATGGAGGAGAATATGTCTAGACACGATTTCAAGAACAAAGAGGGAAATTCTAATTGTTACTTTTTAATCCTCAGCCGAGGATATTTCTTCCATTGCTTTTCAGAGAGAGTGGAAGGGGGGGAAGAGAGAGAGAAACATAGATGTGAGAGAGACGCATCGATCAGGTGCCTCCCACATGCACCCCGGACCGAGTATCGAGCCTGCAGCCGAGGTACGTGCCCCTGACTGGGACTGACCCAGAGGCCCTTCAGTCTGCGGGCCGACGCCCTAACCACCCAGCTAGGGCCAAAGGGGGAAATTCTAAATGCTTTTTGAAAGAAAAAAAATCTACAGCTTTCTCTACTTTGGTATCTCCTTGTATAAATACTGCCTGCCTGCAGAAAATCTTAAGTAGAAAGAACGAACAAATTTTACCGTTACTTCAAGAAAATTAAGCTGAAATTCAAACACTGGTACTAAACTATAAAATTTTCAATTAACTCAGAATAGTATAGGATATGGAAACGTGCTCACCTGTATAACACAGCTTTATCTACACCAAAAGCTCCTACAATTAAGTCTTAAAAGAGAGTAGAAAAAAATGTTAGTAATAATCATTTTTTAAAATTCACATACCATTCTATAAAACTTTCAATACATACACTGAAGATTTAGACATACTCTCAAATCTATCTTCATTAGGCGGTTTAAGAAAATCTTAATTTAAAAGGCTAAAATATGAAAACTCGAATAAGCTATCATCAGTGACACACACTCATCATAAAACTAGTCTTTCATTCAGGTAGACAAAACCTTTTTCATGGATACTTAGTAAAAATTAACAACAATGGGGAAGGAAGTATAATCCCCAAACACACACACCGAAAAGGGAAAAGCTGTATAGATGCCTGTGGATTTCACAATTTCATTGTATATATTTTTTTCTTTATTTTACTTTAAGAAAAAAGCACATTACATCTATTTAGAATACGCAGAACTGATAGCAGATAGCACTCAAATCAACAAAAAAAGAATTAGTTTTTATATGTAACAGGTAAAAATGATTAACAATTGGGAAAAAAAATGATACCAGAGCTCTACCTCACAATATAACCAAGCTAAATTTGAGGAAGCCCTGTCTAGGCAGAAAAGTACATGAAAAAACCATAAAGACAGGCAGATTGTATTACATAAACATTAAGAACTTCTGTATGCCCAAAAGAGCAAATGTGACAAAGAAATATACAGGGACAGGAAAAAGTAGGTTTGTAGTTATGAATGTACAAAGCACAGACTTTATTCGTGTACTATTATTTACTAATTATTATTATAATTTTCCATACAAACAACTATAAACCTACTTTGCCTCATGCTGTAAATCAGTTAATATCCTAAAATATGTTATTTTAAGGCACCTGCCACAGGTTAAAAAAAAAATGAATTAATGAAAGATAAACATCCCAGTAGAAGCAGAGAAAAAAAGACGTAAAAAAGAAATTCACAGAAGTAAATAGATGCAATAAACAAAAATGCTTACCCTCACTAATAATCAAAAACTGGAAATTAAGACAAAATAACATTTTCCACCTGTCATATAGTTTAAAGTTACTTTAAAAGGAACAGAAGCTGATACCCAATATGGGCACATATGTGCGAAAATGACCACTCACTAGTGATAAGTGCTTTAAAAAGCTGCAAAAGCTTCTTTTAGAGGGAGTGGGATTGTAATTTAACAATGTGTATCATCAAACTTAAAAACAAAACAAAACAGTGCTTATTTTTGACACAGCAACTCTAAAACTTTGTCCTAAGGAAATAATCAAAAAATAAAAACTTAAAAAAATAAGATGTATGCACCAGAATTATATGGAAGAATATAAATGCCCCAAAATAAGGTTAAATAAGATATATAGCCATTTGATAAAATGAAAAATATAAAATTCATGTTTTTAAAGAATAATAACATTGGGAAACATTTCTGATACTTTAAGTGAATAAAATATGCTATTAATAGTGCACAAGACATAATTCTATTTTGTTAAAAAGTGTGTATGAATGTTAGAAAAAAGATTGCAAAATATGTTTTGCTGTATTTTCTAAAAGTTCTATAATTATATTGCATTTATAACAAAAAATATTCTTGAATTAACACTGATGTAGGTAAGAATCAACGTCATGTCCTATTTCTAAAAGGACTTCAACATACTTGCACATTGAGCTCATATTAACTGTTTCAACAACAATGGTAGTCTAAATTTTCTGCACTATATTTCACTTAAAGAATAGACCCATTATGATCTTAGGTCCATTATAATACTCCAAAGTATATACAAGCCAGAAAAAAAAAATCTCACTTTCTGTACTGGCTCAAACCATTGGGCAATGTTGGGTAAAATGCCTTTCTCAATTTCTTTTCTCATCCAGAAAATGGTATAGGAATGAGCTGAGCTAGCTTATATTCTTCACAAGCCTTAATGAGATAATCCAATGAAATAATATACTTTTTAAAAAATCACAATGATTAGTCAGGTCCACAAAAATGTTAGATCACTGAAAACCAAAAAAACATGGCTAACATTCAAAAACTTAAAACGAGCATTTAGCTTTTGTTTATAACTTCTGCAGCATTTTTTTTTACTTCATTACAGACTTCAAGATAATAAAAGAAACTCAAAGTATGTGTTTTTTATTGGAAACTCCCAGGAAATAGAGCTGTCTTTACTTCATATCCCTTTCAGTAATGAGAACACCTTAAACAACAGTAGCGGCTTAAACAGTACTTGAAATACTTAAATGAAATAATTTATAACATAAATCAAAAGCACAATTAACTATTTGCTCTTAGGACTGAAAAATCTATGAAGCTCTATGCACTTCTAGGACAGCACCTGGATATCCATTTTTGTCTATGTCCGTGGCTCCTTTCATTGAGTAGCCGAAGCTTGGTGGCATGCTCTGGGCAGCCCACTTCCCTTCCAGGATTTGAGATGGCAGCGTATTCAGGCCCGTTGATCTTCCATTGAAAATATAAACGATTCCTTTTTTATCTTCACCTCCATATGGAGCAGCAATTGCAATATCTGTGGGGGAAAAGGGAGAGGGGACGGGGGAGGAGATGGAGAGAAGTTAAGAAAGGGAGAGAAGAAGGGGAAGGAGCAGAAAGGAAAGAGAGAGAGGAAGGATGGGACAGAAGGAAGTCTTAGTACTTCATTATTATTTATGTGGCGCTCTTAATATTCATAGGACCCATTTATCAAGATAAATATTGATTCAAAGTTCAGCAATGTACTCTTTATTCAAAAGCAGCAAGCTAATTCAAAGAAATTCAAGCAGAACTGTATGGAAATGACATTAATTTGGAGCCAGATATTCTGGACCTGACCTTGGAAAAGTCAGTTCATTTTTCTGGACTTCAATTACCTCTTCCTTTAATGGAGGAGAGGGTGACATGTCAAAACATTCCTCTAGCCCAGCCGGGCGTGGCTCAGCGGTTGAGCATGGACCTAGGATCCAGGAGGTCGAGGTTTGATTCCCCGTCAAGGAACAAGCCCAATTTCGGGCTCAATCCCCAGTTGGGGGCGTGCAGGAGGCGGCCGATCAATGATGACTCTCTCATCACTGATGTTTCTATCTCTCTCTCTCCCCCTCCCTTCCTCTCTCTGAAATCAATAAAGAGATATTTTTAAAAAAACAAAAATAACATTCCTCTAAGGTTCATTCTAGCTCTCAATATTCTAGCTAATTTAGTTGGGCATGGTTTGGGTTTGTTGTTGTTTTTTTAAGCAGAAGTCAATCTGGCTCAGAAACTTGAAAGTTAGGAATTCATCCCAATCTTGCTCAACTTATACTGAAATAACATAAACAAAAAGTCTGGAATTCTTTTAAAAAACAAACAAACAAAAAACAAATGGTCACTCTGACCTTTCCTAACAGTACAATATTTTACAAATATGTCCATTTCCCTCTATCCCTGCTGGTACCACCCTAGACAAACCATTCTCACCCTTTGTCTGGACCTCTAAAGCAGACTAAGTGGCCTCCTACTTCTATTCTTTCCCCTATAACCCATTCTCCTCAAACCAGTCAAATGTCAGTATCATGTCACCTTCCTTCTTTAAAAATTCTTCAACTATTTCCCAAAGCGTTCAATACTACCTGGCTTATCCAGTGATCCCTCCTCTCCCCACCCCCCACCCAATTCTAACCCTCACTCACTTCCTACCAATCCTGGACTTTTTCTCTCTCTTAAACACACCAAGCTGGTACCCATCTCTGGGTTTATACTTGCTGTTCCTTTCTGCCTTAGCAGCTCTTGCTTGAGAGCTTTCCAAGCTTTGCTCCTTCTATTTGTCCAAATCACAGACCAAATGCCATGTTGTCCGAGAGGTCCTTCCTGGCCACACTACGAAGCAATGCATTCTCGTCTCTCAACCCCACTTTCTATCTAGACACTATTATATTATCTTGTCCTTTTGTTGTTGTTGTTTCAAACCCATAGCCTTATCACTATCCGAATTTCCCCACTATGTGTTTACTCTTTGGCTCTTCCACAAAACAAGCTTCATTAGAACAAAGAGGTGTGTGTGTCCCTCTTGTCTATGATGGACCAGCCCTTCCAAACTGTCTCAATTTACTTAATGTACCCAAACGTTTTCAGCCTCCTCAATGCAGCATCCCGAGACAACAAAGACAACCCGATTATTCACCTTTTATATAGAACAATCGTGCCCAGAAATACCCCAAACACTGTGGTGATTACATTCTAGTATTTACCTGTTTACATAAGTTACCCACACTGATGCTAAATTCCTTAAGGACATGGATGGGCTCTAACTTATCCTCTCATTTTTGGCACCTAGAACAGTTCTTGGCCTGTGATAAGCACCAACTAAGAATTTGTTATCCTTTTAAAAAGTAGTATTTGTTTAAATTATGTTAGTATTTAAGTTATTCTTGTTCAAGTTTCAAAAGATAAACATAACTTCCAAATTGACATAAGCATTAAAAAAATATTGATTAAAATATAATTTTCCAACAGAAGATGGCTGTAGTATTTTTTTTTATAATACATCTTTATTGATTTCAGAGAGAGGAAAGGAGAGGGAGAGAAAGAGATAGAAACATCAATGATGAGAGAGTTATTGATCGAGCCTGCAACCCGGGCATGTGCTCTGACCGGGAATCGAACCCTGATCGCCTAGATCCTAGGTCAATGCTCAACCGCTGAGCCACGCCTGGCTGGGCGATGGCTATAGTATTAAAAAACTATTATAATAAAAGTGATCTTTAACTTTTCTAAGACTCTCAATACTTAATACATTCTAATCACCTTCTCTCTTGCCTGGCATCTGTCTAGTAAGGAGAGTCCTGCTTTTTCATGCAATCAATTGCTTCCTTTGATCCTTTTAGTTGCTCTTTTCAGTGCGTTTCTTCCCCCCTCTGCCTTTCTGGAGGGCTATTAAGAAAAACTGTACATAATTGTGGAACCTAACTTCCTTGTTTGGTTTTCAGTATCCCTCTTGATGATACCTGGGTTTTCCTGGTGGGTACAGGTAGAAAGAGAGGAATATAGGAGCGTAACAGAGGGCTAATGTCATCAGGTTTGAACAAAGAAAAGTACTACTTGGGAGATACGTCATCCATATTTTTTAAGTTTTCTTAATTTATAACTTTCTTTAAATTTTAAGGGGCATATCCTTATTTATTGTTGATGATACAAACGAACAGTTCAACTCTCTATTCTGTGACTTTTAGAAAGGTTTTTAATAGTATTCTTTTTTAAAAAAAATCTTGGTAATGTGTAATCTATATTTCATTCTGTAATAAATGCCAATTTAGATTTTTAAAAATATCTACAGCTATTAATTATTAAATGGGACTATTATAAAACAATGAGCTTAACTTATTCCTTTTACTTGCCCTCATGAAGAAAGATATAAGCCCCCACAGAATATTTTGGAGAGTCACAACAAAGTTACAGCTTTAAAAATATTTATGGCAAATCACAGCTCTGAAGTACATATTACAGTCAGCATTACCCTGACAATGTGCCTGGGAACATATTTTACACTTATACCCAAATGGACGGTAGAGGGCACTGTCGCCAAGCAGGAGACAAAATCACCAGCTCATGCCAAGCCAATGCAAGTCCCTTTCAGACATTAACTATTCCAACATTCAATTTGGGGCTGCATGAATAATAACTCATAAGAATCAATTTCTGAAATTTCTGCTCTGATTTTTAAGGAAAAAGAGCAACTTGATGTTCAACCTAGTGTTAGTTACTGTCACTCAAATTCTTTTCAGAAGGTTTGCTCATGAGGGTTCAGAACTTTTCCAACTGGACACAGAAAATCAGGGACCCATACAGTTGCTGGACTTTGACCTTACCGTTGAAGCCATCCTGGTCCAGATCTCCCAAAGGTGCAATGGCACTGCCAAACCTCGCAAAGACCTCAAAGCCATTCAGCTTGGTCATCTGGAAGTCTCCTGAAGCTCTCTGCAGAGACACTGAGACCTGTCCCACCTCTTGGAGTTTGCCGTCAGAACCACGGTCCATGAACAAAGGTGCACCGATAAACACATCTGCATAACTAAAAGAACAGATTGTTTTTCATGAAAGCAAGATTAAATTCCACCTATTAATAATCACTTCCTTATTAAAATTGTTTCCTCTTTCCACATCTCTCATAGCCACACTGAAGCATAAAATGATCATTTCATATTTGAAAGTTCCTTCAACTCTTTTAAAACTGGGTAATTCATAAAATTACTTTATTCCTTCATATTATCAAAGCTATCGAAAGAAATTATGAAAAAATAGAGGTTTCTTAGCATCATGATAAGCTGCTTCTTCTCTGGTTCCTTAAACAGAAAAATTAGCAGGAAAGGGAAAGAGGAACAGAAGAAATGTTTCATTTTAGTAAAGAGTTCATAAACATGAGAAGAAAACTGTTTCTGGAAACATTTTTTAAAACTTACTCATCCCCATTAATGTCAGTGGCAGCGACAGAAAATCCAAAATATGCGGCCATCTGGACAACGAGAAGAAAATGAAATGTTTACATTCCATTCAACTAGTTTAACAATTGATATTTGTAGTATATTTATCAAACAGAAGGGGTTATTTTTTTTCCTCTGCATATAGTGCTTCAGTCTAAATTTCTTCTCTTTTGTTTATTCTACCAACACAATGACAATCAGGTAATGAGGCTTGTTTATTTTCCTAGATTTATAAGTAAAACATATCCCATGTATGTCACTTCATTGACTTCAACACATACCATTTAAGTCCAAGTACAATCAATGCTCCTTCCCAGGCCTAACTGACTATCTCCCTTCCTCTCCACTATCCGAAACACACCAGACAGACACACTACCAAAAAGACATTCAGTCACAGAAAGAGGTTTTACTTGAATCCAAGAAGTTATAAATGGATGTCTATGCAGTAAAGATAATAGATAATAATTACTAAGGGGTCATAAATGTCTCTCTGTATGTGAAACTATTACAACTTTAAAGAAATTACTATTTGGAAAGATATAAAAGGTAGTTCATTTTTGTCTCACAGCTCAACTGGTTACATGCCGGTGGTTTTGCTTCTGATTAACACACAGCACAAATGGTTTTGGGTTTATCATGGGCCCTTTATACAGAGAGAGGAGGAATGTCCTCTCCCGGCCACAGGAGACCGCTGGTCATCACAGATAGAGCAGCCTGGCTAGAAGTCCATGTGAAAAGGGAAAGTTCTAAAGAGAAGCCAACATGCAAAGCAAAACTAGGAGAGATGACAAATTACAGATGAACTAAGGTGAACAATAAGCCAACAAACCAAACACAGGAAAGTTGGCAAAACTTCCAGAATTTGATTAGCAGAGGTACCAGGAGGGAGCGATAAGGGAGATTCCTAGGCTACCTATTCCGGGTTGACAGTGTCAGCGAGGAAATGAAAGACACGCTCTGCATCCGATGACAAATCAGAGCGTGTGGAATAAAGTGTACTGTCCGTGGGGCACCACGCTGACCTGACGACTGGAATCTGACGCAATACTATGCTGGGGCCTTGTTCTCTCAGGGTGCTAGGCCTGAAAGTATAAGGAAAGGGCGGCACTTAACTGAGACAAGTTTTGTCCTGGGCGCTAGGACTGAAATGTTTTCACATCTGGTTCTCACCACAACCCCACGAGGAAGTTGCCAGTGTCCCTACTTGTACGCCTGAGACATGGGCTTTACGGTGGTAAATCCCGGTCCAACGCAGTAATCCTGAGCTTGGGGAGCCAGCTCTGTCCTAACGGTCCCAGTGCAAAGCCCAGGTTTTCCCCACAAGAGAGCTGAGAATCGTAGACTATACACAGGAGAAGCTGCTTGAGGTGAAGAAGCCACCACAGCACAAATGGACAGCCACCCTGCAACAAGCCCAATGGCCGGTCGCTGCAGGCCAGTCCCCGCTGTGCAGCACCCTAAGGCTCGCACAAATGGGAAGAGGTTGCTGGGACCTTGGGTCTAGCTCCTCACACAAAGCCCAGCCATCTCAAATGAGCACGAAGTGGGTACTAATTAACTTTTCCTTTACCATTACTAACTTACTTAATAAAACTGCATCTAGTAAAATTAAAAGGCACAGATCCTTCCTTAAAGGAGAAGCTAACGTCATCAGCAAAGAAAAAGTACGTTTTGGTTTTGTGTGTAAGCAATTTGATTTTGTATTTCCTTTATTTAAAAAAAAACTAGCCATAACATGCAATTACAAAAAGTATTTGCTTAAACAAATTACTTTGGTTAAAATAAATATGAAACACTTAAAGCCTATTTTATATCTGTAATAGTTAATATTAAACCAATATTTATTATACATTGAATATTAAACCATTAGGCTATTGCCAAGAAAAAGTTTAAGACATTAGGAAATGCTGCTATTAAGATGTTGAGTAAAAAAAAAAAAAAAAAAAAATTAAAAGCATACCTGCTCACCAGTAAAATTGTATAAGGAGGACATGTTTTTCCCATCATAAATATAAACCTGTGCAGGAAAAACAAAAGTATATGAAATATAGGAAAATATAAGATAACCCACAGATTTTTTTTTTAAAACACCTTTTAATTTCCCTACCATTCCCAGAGTCCTCGCTGCTCTTGGAACTCCTGAAACAAAGTCTGAAAAGAAAAAACTTAATTACTCATTTTTAAGACCAATGGGAACGGAATATGTCAGAAAACTCTAAGTTTTGTTATTTCAGTAGATAAGAGATTTTTAAAAGTTGGTACTCCATAATAAATGACCACAGTATACTTTTAACCACAAAATCAAATAGGTACAAAATATAGAAAGATTCATGAGGACCCTCAAGTAAATACATGTGTGTCCTCAAGGCATCGGTAATCCGGTTAAAAAAGGACAGGTAAGATAAAGTGACCTAAGAATGAAGAAAAGGTACATTTACAGTAATGAAAACCAACACAAAGCCAATGAAATAAGGTAAAGGTGGCAGTTACACTGAAATGTGAGCAAAGTCGGTTAAAGTCTATGATTTCCAGACTGAGTTCTGGAAGATGACCAGTGAACAGAAAGAGGAGAGAGTAACAACCTCACTGTCAGCCCAGAGAGGTTACAAATTATGCTTCCAGGAAAAAGCAACTAAGCCTCTCCCTGGGGACTGAATCTGCAGAAAGAAATAAGGAATCCTGCAAGTGCTGGGAAAGTGGCAGATGGGGAAGAGACTGGGGCCCCAGCACAGGCTCCATGTCAGGGGAAGAGACTGAGGTCCCCAGCACGAGCTCCATGTCAGGGGGAGACTGAGGTCCCCAGCACGGGCTCAATGTCAGGGGGAGACTGAGGTCCCCAGCACGGGCTCAATGTCAGCCGCTGCTCGCGGAAGCTTACCATAGACCCAGCTGATGTCAGCTTACTAAGGTCCCCTCATTCCTCCTGTTACATTCTACAATAATGGTTTCAAAACTCTTTAATTGCTGAAGTGTTTCAAAGCTACTGTTTCAAATGCTTAGCCCAAATTTTTTAAAAAAGTTCATACCGTCTATGCCATCACCATTGAAATCGCCAACAGCCACAGAGTAACCTAAGCAGAGAACCAAAAGGCAAAACACCATCAGGGCCAGTTATTTGCAGCATGCTCGCTGCCTCAGCTTTCTCTGACGCTATCTTCAAGGAATTCCTCTCCTTATGTAATAATTTGTCCTCTAGGGATAATATATTCATATGTGCACGATACATGTACCTTAAAGAAAATAACTGAGCTAAATGTTCCAAGAGTATAACTCTATTAGAAAAATAAAACTTTTATCAACTTTACAAAGGAGTTATTTAAAAACAGGGTAAATTTGCGATTCATCATAAAGTAGCAACAAATAACAGATTTTCTCAATCAGCAAAGTACTGTTTCTGTCATGTATACTTGGTTCAATGAATAAGAGAAATGTAAAAGGAGAACACAAGTTGCACTAGTCGGTTTGGCTCAGTGGTTAGAGTGTCAGCCTGCAGACTGAAGGGTCCCGGGTTCGATTGCAGGCTCCAACCCCTGCGCATGTGGGAGGCAGCCAATCAATGTGTTTCTCTCACATCGATGCCCCCCATCCACTCTCTCTGAAAAAGCAATGGAAAAAATATCCTCAGGTGAGGAGTGAAAAAAAGACAGCGAGAGAGAGAATAAAAGTTAATAAATCCTTAAAACCAAAACTATAGTTTAATACAGTGAATAATAAAAGTTTGAGAGTCAGACCACCTGAGTTCGAATCTCAGAACATCAACTTATACATGCGTGACTACGCGCAAGTTATTTTGCCTCTCTGTGCTTAAGTTTCTTTATATAAATTGGGAACAAAAACAGCACACCTTCATAGAATTCTTCTGAGGATTAAATGAGTTAATACTGAAAAGCACTTAGTACACTACCCAGAATACAGTAAGCCTATCTTAAAGGTTATCGATTATTATCATGGTATAATCAATCATGCTCTTAAATTTCAGCTACTGAAATATAACACAACCCAAGTATTCAATAACATTTTGAAATTATATGTCCCATATACATATATATATACATATATATATACATTTTAAACCTTAATCTATTTCACATAAAAGATTTTCCTACTTAAAGCAGCATGTGAAAATACAGGACAAATCCACCCCAAGTACAGAAAATGAATCCATATTTTGGTTTCACCTACCCAAATAACTGTCATCAAAAACAGCTTGTGCAGTCCGAGTTGCTAACTGGTTATTATATTTGATGCTATAAACTTTGGGGTCATATTTAGATACAATTTCTGCCACTTGATCCGATATGAGCTGACCTGAAAAATATACATAGAAAAATAACTTTCTAATGGGAACTTTATGATGCAGATGATGGATGGCACCTCCATGAAAGAAAATAGTATTAGATATTAGTATTTCAAATTATTAGCCTTAAATAACTCTCCATAATATTAAATCTGAAATTTTATATTATTTTTAAGTCACAATTATTTCTTTTCAACCTAGTACTTAAAATTTGTCTCTGATAATAAAAATTTCTGAGTACAGAATTTGTCTTAATTCACTAAAAAAATCAATGTTAAACAAATGGAATAATAAAATCAAGGGCTGTTTCCCAACCAAATCCATAAGAACTTGAAAAATCAACTAAAATAATGAAACATTTTTACCTTTATAATAAGAATAATTGGTTCAACTGATTTCTTTAATGAATTATTTGGACACCTTTATGAAGCAGCTTGATGGGTGAGCACTTTTCTTCACAATCTCAGGTTACAAGGTAGAAAAGAAATCTAGACAACTATACAAAAATCAGACTGAACCCTGACCCAAGAAAGGTTCGCTGATATATCAAATGCCATCTCCATAACATGAGAAAAATAATCTCTTCATTTCTGCTGTTTTAGAAAGAAATTCATACTAGCTAAAGACTTCAGTCCTGGTCCAATTTGTCCAGTCGCGTAAGTTGCATTATAGGGCAGAAACACTTTGTCTAGGTTACTACTTTATACTGTGTCTAAATGGCACCTGACACATAGGAGGGAATTCAATAAATATTTCTTGAAGCAAAGAACACAGGAAAATTCATCACCTCTTTGGAATAAAACATCATCATTTTCTCTGTTCTTACAGAGACAATTGTGAGATCTATGGAAAAATTTACTCTAACATCTTTATTCAGTGATACCTGCTGTTTTTAATCTTGTTAAAACAAAATATTCTCTGCCCAGTCACTGAGTCTTTTACATACCATTTATAATGAAACGCCAATGGACATAATATGAATAGTACCTATATCTCTCCTAATTTATAATAAGAACGTGCAGACATTGTGCAATATTCAATGTATTAAAAGAACAAGTCACTTAAACATGTTCACAGCTGTGTCTCTTAAAAAGGCAGAGTTCACAAGCAGTCCTGACTGAGAATCACAAAATCTATCTTTGGTTCCCACACATGCTAATGAGACACTTCTCTTCCTTCCAATGAATGACATATCTGGCAGTAAAGAAAAGTAAATCTATTAACAGGATCAATAATATTTATTTTCTCATGTGCAATTAGAACTATTTTTGTTTTTACTGTAAAACTGTAAACTCAAGTACAATTTTTCTAAATCATTCCATTTTTCAATATATGTATAATTCACAGAAATTCAAAATTTGTAGTTTTAGTATGTCTGTCATACTGATCCCAGTCTTTGCCTGATTTTTCTTTAAAATAACCTGAAAAAATTTCATAGGCACCTGATAAGACAGATGAATCTTACTTAACACAGTCAATATTGGGTAATTTAAATAGTATTAACCTACCTTGCCAATAAAAGCTACCAGGACCACCAAGAAGTACTCTGTCAGCCTAGATTAAATCAAAAAACAAAAAGATATGTATATAAAAGCAGGTATTTTTAAAAATTGAAAGCAATCTAATAAACATAAAAGCTACATCTACGTATACATATGAATATAACATGTAATATATATTAAAGCAAACAAAATCATAAATCTCAACCTCATCTAACTCAGGTTGTTATTTTCATTGTATCTTTCCTAAAATACAATTTTAAAATGAAAAGTTACAATATATCCATTTAATATATAAAAATAAACATATACATTAGATTCTGTGGATCTTTGCTGCTTCACAAACTTGGTACGAATTACGTACTGCAAAGCATTACAGGGTTACAATAAGGAGAAAAGTCACTCCTTAAAACTGTGTATGACATCTGTGACCACACAGGCATTTAAATGTCCTTTCTAACAATCCTTAAAACATTTTTCAGCTAAAGGAAAATTTTTAGTGACCTGTGGATCTAAACAGGAGTGAAGTGTGAAGGTACATTTTTCAGGGTATATTATATATACACGTTACACCTAACTAGCATTTCTTGTATCTCTAGTAAACTGTAAGTATCTAATTCAAAGTATTTAGTGTTTAAGCATAATATTTCAGAAATTTTTTGTTGGAGGTTAAAAAAATCATTTCCCCCTCCAAATGTTCATACAGCCCTCTCTAGCTTTCAACAATCTCCTGCTCCGGCTATGTAATAGATACTTCTAAGTTGTCCGCTTTAAAATGACCACTTTTTTTCAGAAATTAGTTGAAGAAGGTGAACAGGTAATTTAGCAATGATTATTCACCATATGAGAATATTTCTAGGAATAGAGTTGTACAGGCATAGGTACAGAAAACAAATCACTTTTTAAAAAATACAGTACCTATTAACATAGGTATTATCCATATATATCATGCAAGTTTATACCTAATATTTATTAACATAGTTTATCTCTTTGTTTTGTTTCCTTGAATTTTGAAACTGAGTAAATTTTGAATTATGAATTTCAAATTGATTAAAGTGAAACCAATTGCTTAGTAAGGAGAGCTAACTATAATTATCAGTCCCCATTTAAAAAAATTTTTTAATAAAATATAATTTTAAAAAATGCTTTATTAGTTTTTCTGAATATGATTATAGTTGCTGTTAATAAGTTTAAGGCATTCTTTCTCCCATTTTCTAAGAAAGCCATATTAAGCTTTCCAAGGAAGCTCTGCTTTTAATCCATCAACATACTTTTGAGACTTCTCTAAGAAGTAATTAATATTCTCAATTTGACATTCAAAATGTTCACACATCCCACCAAAAAATAATCACACACAAAAAATTACAAAGGAAAGTACTCAAGAAAATTTTTCTTTGAAAATGTAAACGCAATTCATTTTAGAAAAACAGATAAAAGCTATCAATTATGGAAAGCATATTAGCTTAGTTAAAAATACACAGAATTCTGAATGTATGACCTACTATTATATTAATTTGCTTCAGCTTTACTTGGTGCCTATAGGCAACAGATGGCAAATACGCATGTTTCTCAGCTTTTATGTAACTAAACTCTACTTTTGTAATAAAGCTCCCACTGATAACTTTGTAAAAAATCAACTTCAATCAACAACAGAAAACTTTAATATTCTAGAAATTTATCTAACTGGAAATTTTAATATTAAGTCATAATAGTTATCTATCATCTACTGAGGAAATTTTCTACTGTCCTCCATACCATTTTGATGTCAATTTCAAATAAGCAACATCTAGGGAAAGAATGCAAAGAATATCAAAATACATGGGTCATTTTTATTAGCTGTTTTCATAAAGCAACTAACAGTTATAGAGAAGCTAAAGTACTGACCAATTAATTTTTAACTATGATTCAGATAAGAAGGTAGATTGGAATCTTGTTTAGTCTTAAATAAGAACTTACTTTAGTAAAATCAATGCTGAATCCTCCTTGACAAAATCCCTGTCCATCAGCATCAATACTTTCTAAAATAAAAAGATTGGAAATATACACAAACCCAAAAAACAAACAAACAACACAAAACAAGAGAAAAATCTGAAATCACTGTAATATAAGATAATGTACTAGTTTCTGAAAGTGTTCATTCACTCAGGCACTTACTGAGTTATCAAATTCTAAAAAAATAAGTATGCTTGTTTATCAGCACTGTTTTCTCAGATATGACAACAGAGAGACATTAAACCACCTGGACCAGTCATTCACCAGGGAACAGAAAGAAGGAAGGTGGTGAATTTAAAACTTCTTATTTTAAACCACAAACCACAGCAAGATTATATTTTATATCACAGCCCGAACAACCCAACATACACATATATAAATAAAATAATTTCACAAACAATATTAGTATTATTATGTATAACATAATCTAATGTTTTGTCTTTCATTATATTTCATTCCATTTTTTTTAAATGATTGGTTATGACCCACTATTTTGATTTCATAAAACAATGATGAGCTGTGATCTGTGAGTTAAAGACTCCAATTTGAAATTCCTGTTTCTTACTATTATTATCCTACAGTTAGTAGGCCTTTGCACCAGTAAAGAGGTACATACATTCCTAATTCATACATTTCCTGTGTACATTTTATAGCCAACAACAATAAAAAAATCTATATATAAAAAAAAAAAGATGTAGTTCAGAATTTCAGGAGATAGCCAGAACCTAAATGAATGTTCTATGAGAAGCAAAATATAAACCGATCCTCACAACACATTTAGTACTGGTGTCTAATGAAAGTGAACATCTTTAAAAGTGACACTTTTAAGTTTTTCCAAATGATAATAGACTCAATCATTTTACTCTCTTTTTTTTGTAGTTCTCACAGAAAGGGATGATTTCTGGACAGCGGGTCAATTAATTGAAACTAAATTTAATCATGAGTAATATTGTATCTAGAATAGAGGTAAGAATGAACCTTAAGATTAGTCCTTATTTGGAAGATAACAAGAAACAATGAAAAAACATTACTTCTCAATTATCAAGGAATTTTCTTAAATTATTTTTCAATTACAGCTGACATACAATATTATATTAGTTTCAGGTATACAACACAGTGATTAGACATTTATATACCTTATGAAGTAATCATCCTGATAATATCAAGGAATTCTTGTAGACAGTGTTACAATATATAAATAATTACACTATAGTATTATTGTATTTGCCACCCAAATAGAGGAGCCAAAAAAATCTCCTTTAAGTCATTAGGACAATTTGCAAGAATTTCTATCAAATACTCCCATCAAAAATTTTGAACCCATTTTAAAAACTTGGGAACTACCCCAAGATTATACACTTAATATCTAAATTTAGAATTTTTTTTAGAAAATACCCTGAAGAGTATAATGCAACTCTAACGTAAAAATTTTCTAACCAAGAGAGACTGGGAAATGTAAGGTTGGGTTTTTCAGTATCTAATGAATTCATACTAAGGAATTCTGCTCTGACCTCAAGACAGCCGTTTATTTCCTTTATTCAAGTTGCATCTGGGGAACTATTTCAGGCTATTTATAAGACTGTACAATTATATACTTTATATGGTTTTCCAGAACATCCGGCTAGAAAACATTACTGTCCTTTAAAATCTTTTAGCAGGTACACATTAAACTGAGTATTTATGCCAATGTTAAGAATTTTATGCTGACTATAACCTACTTCAGTGAAGGCTTTTGTTTTTATTACTATGGACAATATTTCTCCCACTTGCTAAGCCTGACAATATTAGCCATAATAATATTATTGATTATGATAGTAAGAGCAGCTAGTATTTATTAAGCCCTTACTGTGAGCCGGGTACTATTCTAAAGCATTTTCCTTGGCATTATCTTTTTAAATCTTTACAGCAATCCTATGAAAGATACCATTATTATTCATAATTTACAGATAAAGAAACTAAGGCTTAAGGAAGTTAAGCAACTCAACCATGGTCAAGTAGCTAGTAAATAAGAGAGAATGGATCTGAGCCCAACCCTGTCAACACCAGGAGGCTGCAACACTTCAAATCAATAAGGTACTTGTAATTCCCTGAGTAACAATCAAGGGGAAGGAAAAGCCAACCAGAAATTAAAACAAAGAAAAATCTATGTACATCATCATCATCAGAAAGTAGACAGAAGGAACAAAGGCTCAGTCTGAGCACTGAATTCAAAGAGTATTTGGGTCATGTGATTTGTGGCTCCGGCACTTTTAGAACAGAAAGACGTGTGGCCTGTTGTGTAATGCCCAGAATGGTCATAGATACAGTTATAAAAAGCCCAAAGCAAATATGATTAGTAATAAGCTAAGTTTTTTACAGACAGCAAAGTTCCATGCCCAGGGTGTCCACATAGGTCATGTTAAAAACAAAAGCAAAAGCAAACAACAAGAATCCCCTCAAATTACCACCACCGAACAAGCAAAGTAACCAAGAAGTTGGCAATGTAGCCCTATAAAGCTGGCACCCCAGGTAAAAGCAATCACTGGGTTGCATAATTTATTGAAGTATGAAGAAGACACAAAATACTAAATTTGTACTTCTGAAGTCTTTTGTCCAACACAGTGTTTCACCAACAATGACACGGGCCCAGAGTGGTTAAGTGAATCACCCACAGCTACAGGCGGGTTGTCAGCAGAAGGAGAGAATATACCCAAGTTCTCAGACTCCTGCTTAGGAGCACTTTCATCGGGGCACGTTGCCCCTTGTAACCAGGGCCTGTAGGTAGCTTAATATTTCAAAAGTTGAGCAGAAAAACATGTACAATGATCATGGGATACAGAAAACCAGATTTATTAAGAAGAAAGGTATTCACTTTGCTTTTTTGAGGTGGTTATTTGTACTTTTTCTAAGATTTGAGGTTTTATTATTTAGATGGGGGATTTTTTTCCTGTAAAGGGGCCAGAGAGCAAATATTTTAGGCTTAGAGGCTATAGAGTCTCTGTGGCAACTACTCAACTCTCGCTTCAGAGACAGCATGTAAACAAAGGGGTATGGCTGTGTCCCAATACAATTTGATTTTTAAAAAGAGGTGCACAAGCCATATAGTTTGCTGACTTGATTTGGATGTTACATACGTTAGAAAATAAGGTTTAAAAAGATATTATAATTTGTGTGTCTAAATCCAATAAAAGTGAAAGATTTGTAACAGATGCATCATGCAAACATTGCCTTAATCCTTCAAATACATATTGAGAGAACTATTTATTACTAGAGGGACAAAATGACAAAAACTACTGGCCTAACAGGGCAGTATATCCACAGGGATCATCATCAGGACGCTGTTTTCAGAAGCGCTCCCTGTACTCTCACACATCAGGAATTATCGAAACCTATGTGCTCGTGAAAGCAGGATGTATTGTTTGTAGAAAAACTGTGCTTAATACGGGAGTAACTGAAGTGAAAAACATTTTCTATTGTTAGTAATACAAGGGGAAAATTCCTTTGGACAGATCTGGTTTAAATCCCCATCAGACCATTCGATAATGTAAGATGTAGACAAAAATTACTGCAACTGTCTGAATCCCAGTTCCCACATCTAGCACAGGCGCATAAGGGTGACTTTGTGTGTGTGTGTCTGTTGTATAAATAAGTTACAAACCTGGCACACGAGAGTTAGCTCATTCTTCATAGCTATAAAATTATCTTCTCCCAACTGATCGATGTTTCTCTTTCTCTCTCTTTCTCTCTCTCTCCTTTCCCCTCTCTCTAAAAATCAATGATTAAAAAAAAATTTTTTTAAGTGCTCTAAGTATAAACACCATGCTGCATTTCAATAAGCTTTTATTCTATATCTGGTTTAAAGGGGATCTGGAGCGATGGCCAATTTAACAAAGGTGGGAAGGTAAAAGGATCTGAATGCCCAAGGAAACAGGATGTACAGAGCTTGAGAAAGAACAGTCCAAATTATAAGTGCTCAAAAGCATCCTAAATCACAATATCAATTTCACTTGAAATTTCAAACAATACTAGAGAACAGTGTGAGATCTTCTGGATTATCAAAAGAGGAGTAAGCTTGATAACAGATCGATAACGAAACTCTGATAAAAGCAAGGAAATGCAGACTCAGAGTCCTGAGCTCAACGTTTCACCTTCCTATATACATTCTGGCTCTTTAAGACAAAATTTTTTATTTTTAACATCATTATTAATATAAAACTATATTAGTATAAAGTTCTCAAACCTCAGAATCCATCAAAATCACCTTGTAGAATTTGTTTAAAATGCAGGCACCTGGGCCTGCTGAATCAGATCTCTGCCTTAGAAAAGCTCAATGGAGCATCTTTTGACTAAAGGTGACTGAAAATGTTTCTAAAATCACATATTAATATTACTAACCAAGGAAGATGAAACTTCGTTCTTAGGGAGACAAGCCTGCTGACTCCACATTTGGAATCACTTTACATTAACAGGATTTTCATGTTGCTGTCATCGAACATCGCAATAGGTCTGTAAGTTTTAATACCCCTGCCCCCCCACACACACACACTCACATTTTTAACCAGCCAGGCTTCCCAACCCCTCCTTAAAAGCTGGGACAGCTTCCTCTACATACTTGACCTGCATGGAGCGTACTCGACAGTCCTCGCTCCGTACTGAAGAAAGCACGTTCCCACGGGCTCCCTCTCCTGCTTCATTTCAGTCCTCCAGTGGTACAGAGGGGCACAGGCCTGCAAGCAAAGGGCGAGTCAAGGAACCCAAATGCCCTGAACGAAGTCAGTGCTGCGGACAGCCCGGACCACCTCAGAGAAACAATCCCCAGGCGAGACGGTCATGACACACAGATTGTGCGTATTTACAGCCCCGGGTTCAGGATAGGAACGAGTGGGGAGAAGGTCTAGTTCGAGAATCTGGGGCCCAGAACAGAGCCCAGGGACACCCCACCTTTAGAAACTGAGCAGAAGAGGAGCCGTTAAAGGAGATCGCAAAGGAGGAAGCAGCAAGATGGGAGAAAGCCAGGAAAAGCGCGGTGTCCCAGGAGCCAAGGGAAGAAAACAATTTCAGAAAAAGAGGGGGTCAGCTGACCTTGCTGAATGGTGCAGAGGGGCAGTAAAAATAACTACCAGTGGCCCGGCCAGCGTGGCTCAGAGGTTGAGCGTCAACCTAGGATCCAGGAGATCGACGTTCGATTCCCGGTCAGGGCACATGCCTGGGTTGCGGGCTCGATCCCCAGTCGGGGGAAGGCAGGAGGCAGCCGATCAATGACTCTCTCATCACTGATGTTTCTCTCTTTCTCCCTCTCCCTTCCTCTCTCTGAAATCAATAAAAACATATTTAAAAAAAAATACCAGTGGACTTCAGTGACCTGAAAGTGCAGGGTGACCTTGGCTGTGCCGACCTGAAAGCCTGGCTGGAGTGGCTGGGAAGAAAAAGGAAGTGAAGAGTGGAGGCGGTTACGGCAGAAAACACTTGCCAAAGTTTCTGAAGACGAGCCAGGGAAGGGGCCAGGGCACCGGCGGAGATGAGGCAAAGGGAAGAGCGTGCGTTTGCAGAGAGAGGAGGTTCTGGGGGCTGATGAAACAGAGGCACACTATTCCTAAACCTGGCTGGATAGAAAGAGGCGATGGGAACTATCAAGCGCGGTGGGGGAAATGGAAAGGCGGGAATGAAGGTGGAAAGTGGCAGAACCAAGTCTGTGAAGAACAAAAGATGAGGTGGCACTGGACCAGCTATCATCTCATTATGCCCTGTGCCCGGGAGTACGCTGAGTTTTACCATCAGCTTTTAAATCTAAAACTTCCTTTGTTTTCACATAAATTGACTAAGCTGACCTATGAGTAAATATCCAAAAACTTACCAAAATTTTATCCTGCTTTGACCTCACAGATGCTCCAAACCACTGATGGGACTTAAATTCCAATGGATCATCCTTGGCAAAATCTCTATTGCCTAAAAAAAAACAACAATGAGGGATGAGAAAGAAAATATATATTCTTAGTATAACAGAGTTTATTTCAATCCAGCCAGGTTTAAGAATAGTGTGGCTTGATAAATCAAATACCACATTGCTTATTTATCTCATGTACTTTTCAACTAATCGCGAAAAGATGACTTAGAAATGTCTTAGGGTAGGAAAAAAATACAGAAACATAAAGTATTTTGGTAAAGAGAGACTAATTCTTTTTAAACTTTAGTTTGTTCCACTTAAAATCTCTTTAAAATAATCATTTTTTTATAAGTATATTGGACCAATACAGCAGACAAGTGTCAATTTCGAGAATGCAGGCCAATGTGTAAATACCACCAAAAGTTTCGGTTAAATCTGCTCCCTAAGTCTCGCCCATCTAAGCTAGTTATTCAATTCCATTTTGAGGACTTAACGAGGACTGAATAGATATAAATAATTATTGAGAATTTCAATAATGCCACTTGTCTTACAGGCAAAGTGAAGGGTGCAACCTTGTTCACCATAATATTCTTTTAAATTTTTCATTGTTTTGAAAAAACTGTTTAATGTGTCAGCCTCCAAAGTCCTCTATCTGTCCAAACACCACTGTTCTTTGTCAGTGGTCATAGAGGCAGCATGTTACAAACAGCGGGAAAGGAGAGGGGAAATGGGACTGGCTAATATCTGCCCTTCACCGTGAAAACCCAGGTTTCCCAACAATGGCTGGCTTGCCTCTGAAGCCTATGTTTGCCATGCTGTCCCCACGGGAAAAAATATACGTCAGTGACCTACAGACCACCAGACAGTGCACAGAATCCCTTACATTTCCCATCCTTCCGTACTTAGGTTAGAGCCACATAACTAGTTCTTGCCAATAAGCTAAGAGCAGAAAGAAGTAACAGCTCAAGGTCAAGTCCACTTCCAGTTCAAAACAGTTAAGAGTGGATATGAGTTAACTAATGATCATTAAAAAGAAAAGCAAAGCAAAACCACAATAAAATTATCATCTCACATCGGTTAGAATAGCTATTTAAAAAAAAAAAAAAAAAAAAGATAAATGTTTGGAAGGATGTGGAGAAAAGCGAAGCCTTGTACAGTTGGTGGAAATGTAACTGGTAGAGCCATTGTGAAAAATATACAGGTTACTCGAGAAATTAAACATAGAACTACCACACGATCCAGCAACCGCACTTCTGGACGTATATAAAAAGGAAATAAAATCACTATCTCGAAGGGATAGCTGTGCTCCCATCATTCACAATGACCCAGACACGCAAGCAACCTCAATGTCTGCTGACGATGAATAAACAAAGCGCGAGGATCCAAGGTGGCGGCAGAGGAGGTGGACCATACACGCCCTCCCCCCAGGACCAAACTGGAATTACAACTGAAATACAGAACCGTCAACCTGAATCACCAGCTGAACACCAAGGATTTACAGGAGAACCCACATCGAAACTCGCAGGAAGGGCAGAGAGGCAAAAAGGGCCGGCGGGAGGGATAGCTCGGCTGCAAAGGCTCCCCCTGAAGAGCGTGGGCTCCCAAGCCCGCACGCACCGGAGACCCAGAGCAGGGGGGGGCCCCCGGGACACCTGGCAGCGAAAATCCCCGGGACTGTCTGCCGGGGACTCAGGAGCCCTCCGACAGGGCCAACGCCGAAATCGCATCGGCAGCCGCTCCCCGGCTCTGGGCGGGGAGGGCAGAGCGCATGGGAGTCCCCTAAGGAGAGACCGAGCTGTGTGGCTCCAGGCCTGTGGCTGAAAGAACAGACAAAACAGAAACAGACTCACAGAGACAGAGAACAGACTGACAGCTGTCAGAGGGGAGGGGTGCTGGGGGCCGGGGGAAAGGTGAAGGGGTTAAGAAGAAGAAGAAGAAGCCACTCAGACACAGACAAAGCATGGGGATTCCCAGAGGGAAAGGGGTGGGGGTGAAGGGAGGAAGAAAGGGTGAAAGGGGAATCAGTGGTGCCGGAAGGAGGCTTGACTTGGGGCGGTGAGCACACCATCCGTACAATATACAGATGATGTGTTACAGAACTGTACACCCGAAACCTACATAATTTTATTAACCAATGTCACGCTAATAAATTCAATAAAAAAATTTTTTTTGAAAGACTGCATGGTATTTACATACGCTGGAATACTATTCAGCCATAAAAAAGGGAATTCTGCCAGCTGAGACAACACGGCCAAACGGGAAGGAGGGAAGGAGGCCAAGCGAAATAAGCCCGGTGCAGGACGCCGCTGTGCACTGCCAAGCAGGATATGTTTCTATCACTACCAAGTTCTACTTCCGTTTTTAAACAAGTACTGAAAACATCTCCTGCCATAATAACGATGGATGTCTTTGCAGACATCAAAGGTTTAACTTAAGCTAGAAAATGTGGTGAAAACGAAGTACAAATTTTACATATCTTTTTTGTTTTACACTTGCATCATCAGGTACTGTGGTGCACAAAAATCCATAGTCCTTTCCACATGGCAAGCCATTTACCAACAGTATTTAATGAAAATGAAAGAGCCCCAACCAAAGGTGGAAAAAAAAAAAAAATCAGACAACATGGCTCTTTCTGATAAAAAAAAAAAGTACATTTGAAAAACCTAGAGCTTTACTAAAACTTAGATATGCTCCAAAACAACAGGCATGTACTAAAGCATCATGCGATTAAATGTGTTTTCAATTACATTACCAAACAAAGGAAGTCAAATATATTTGGATGTAATGTGTTGGCATACAGTGGAATCCAAAACAGTCTTCAAAAAATATGTTATCACCCATTGCTTTGAATGCCTCCAGCTTCAACAGGGTCATAACCGCAAATCACCATATTTTCAAGAAGTTTGCTCAATAGGAAGTTCTTTTCTTTACCACTCAGAATTTTATTCCCAGAGATGAAGTCTTAAAATACTTGTTTCAACATCAGGCAGAAGTTTTACTTAGAGGAAGTGTGAATAGAGGTGGGTGGGCGAAAAAGAAAAGGAAAGGCTGATCTCCACACAAACTGACAAGAAGCTCATTCATGATCTGGCTGAAACTGGCAGCTAATCAGGGACACATGAGTGAAGTAAATATTTTGAGTCACAGCCCTGAAGTCAGCATTCGGAGTGATGCCGGAACTCCACAGGCTGCTGGACCATGCCACCAAAACTCAAAAGGGAAATCAGATACAGACAACTGCAGGAATTCCAGGGCAGGAGGAAATGCTTCCTCAGACAACAGTCAAGAAAGAACAAAGATTTCTGTCCATAATTCTGTAAAACACCTTGGAATATTTGCTCTGATTTTCCAAATAAAGGGTATTTCATACAATGGTAAAAATGAGAAGAAATGTCCCATATTATATAAATGAACATAAGACTCTATACTATCATTTTCAAACATAGAGAATGTTGCTAGAGAAACTCGAAGCTAATTAGGAAGTTAAATCACTAGAGACTTGAAGATTTAATGTCTATTTTTGTTGGCTTTAATTTTGTCAATTGCACCCTATCAGACTCCCATGATTGAAGACTTCTGGTCAGAAGGCCACTGAGCAGAGCAAATGGTCATAGCTTTAGACTCTGCCCCCTGATCAGTAGCCAACTCTTCTCATTTCCTCAGAGTGTTTCAAAAGACAAGGTGGAACATGCAACTTGCTGGAGAATTATAGGAATGTTTCTTTTTAGACAAAGTTACTTTATCAACCTAAAGTTAAATTTTTTGTTTCATTTCCCCCCCCCCCCATGCCTAAGGAATATCCTTCCGAGCAACAAGATTATGTCATCTTTTTTAAAAAGGCCATAGTCAAGATGAATGCCAAAGCATTTGAAAATATTTGGAAGTTACTTGTGTTTTTAGTCATTTGATTCCCATTTATTACGATATGACTCTATGAATAATGAAATAATTTAGGTCCTCTAGGAGTTTATTTATTGCCCCCAAAAGTAGCTATTAAAACAGTGTAACGTACAGCATGGTGACTATAGTTAACACTGTATAGCATATTTGAAAGTTGCTAAGAGAATAATCTTAAAATTTTATATCACAAGAAATAAACTGTCACTATGTATGGTGATGGATGTTAACCAGACATTACAGTGATAAGTTTGCAATATACACAAATATGAAATCATTGTGTTATACACCTGAAACTAATGCTATATGTCAATCATACCTCAGTAAAAACAAAACAATGTCACCCCACATTCATCCTTTCATAAAATAGACAACTTGCAGATTTCCTTAAGCAGCTTTTTTACTTCAAATATTACTTTTGCTCAGTCACACTTCCTATTCTTTGTCTAAAACAATAACCTCCTAATACTGCTTATTTATTTATGTGAAAATTAAAAGGTCAGAGGAGGAAATCTTTGATCATTCATTTAAATAAATAAATCATGGGTACCTCCTATGTCTAAATGCAAGGAATATAGCAGTAGGTAAGACAGATAAGGCCCCTGCTATCAAGGGAAAGAAATAATAAACAAAATTATGTAAGATATTTTCAGAGTCAAAAGTGCTATGAAGTAAACTGGAGAGAAAATGATGAACAGACAGCTGCTGGTATCATGTATTTATAACCTAATGATAATGATAATGTGAAATAATGTATTTCATTGATTCAAAGCTGTAAATATTCAGATATTAACATCTTTGAAATATGAATGTGGCCCAGCCGGGCGTGGCTCAGCGGTTGAGCATCGACCTAGGATCCAGGAGACTGTGGTTCAGTTCCCAGTCAGGGCACACGCCCGGGTTGCGGGCTCGATCCCCAGTCAGGGCGTGCGGGAGGCAGCCGATCAACGACTCTCTCATCATTGATGTTTCTCTCTCTCTCTGTCTCTCTCTCCCCCCCTTCCTCTCTCTGAAATCAATAAAGATATATTTAAAATAAATAAATAATAAAAGAAATACGAATGTATATTACAGTCAAGGGTAACTTATAATTCGCGCACTTTTAGTAGTTCATAAATAGTACATTTTAACATAAATGGCACTCTTACATTTACAGTTAACTGGT